CTCGCAACTACACTCTTCAACCCCTGCCCTCCTCACCCTTCCTCCCTCATCACCAGTATCCATTATGTCCCAATATATGCCTCACTCCCTTCCCCTCCCCCATTGAGCTCTAGCTGCCATCTCATGGCCCAGTGCACTCCCAGACCGTTCGTACTCTGTTTCACTGCTGTAAATGTCACCTGAGTTACACTCTCTCTGCTTTCCACAGACGGCCCTTTATTCGCCACCCTTTTAAAAAGACCCCCGCTCACATTTCATGTTTTCTCATTTTTACTATGTGCCAGAGAGCCCTTTTCCTCCCCATTCACTCAGCCATACGATAACACTCATATTTTTTTTGTGAATGCCAGAAGTTCTTTCCTAGCATCATATTTTTGTTTTCTACTCAACGCTTTACCAAGCTTTGGTGTTGTCTGTATTAAAGTAAACACACTCGACAGCTAGGGTGAGTGTTCACATGTGCATCTGAGGTTTTTCGGTCATCTAAATTTAAGCTATCCGCTAGTTTACAGCTTTCAGATGCAGGAAAGCAAGCTTTAAACAACACCTGCCACTTATAAAACCAGTCCACTCATAATAGCATGTAGCTGTGACAGTGAATGGTGCAGGAAGACACATTTTTAATACTAGAATGAACATAATCGCCCCTCAAGTCATGTGACAATGCAAATGTTTGCAAATGTGTCACCTGCAAATGAGTGGGCTGATTATAAAACAATGGGCCCCTCGGCACAGATATGCAAAGGGCCCCACCACGTCTCCTACATAGGAGTGAGACACTTTGTGGGGGTTTTGCATCTCTTTGTAGTCATAATGCATCTTTTTGTGGCTTTGTGTCTCTGTGGTCACTTTTTGTAGTCGACTTTGTTTCTTTGAGGTCATTTTGTGTATTTTTTGGTTGTTTTGTGTCACGTTGTGATCATATTGTGACTCCTTGTGGTTGTTTTGTGTCTCTTTGCTCGTCCTTTGCATCTCTTTGTGGCCTTTTTGTGTCTCTTTGAGACCATTTAGAGTCTCTTCCTGGTCAGTACATGTTAATTTGACTTATGATATTTTGCAAGTGAAGGCCAGTGAGGCCCCTGACACCCTGAGCCCCTGTGCTCGTGTCCGGTAGGTCCATTCATGTGCAAAGGTCTCATGTCAGATCCAAGTTGATGTTGTTCTACATATGGTTAATGCTGGAAAGTACCCTTTCTCTTGTGTCTTTAAACACAAAATGCAGATCTCTCGGGTGTTTTTAAACGTATTTAACATTTAACGTTACAGTGTGTCTCTGAGTTCAGTAGGAATCTGGGAAAAAGGCCTTCAGATCATTAAACACTTAACGATCTTGGATTTTGACTAAACACGATACGTTCACACTCCTTCCATGATGCAAGGTCCATACTCTGTAGAGACTGTGAGAGGCCTGGTCTGACAGTGATGACAGCATGATTAATGCCCGCCTCCGTTCCCACTCGCACACTAACTTCACACAGCACGTCTAAGTGGCCTGAAGAAAAGCTGAAGAAAACTGCCTGCGGGGCCGACAAAAAGTAGCCAGTGTTCATCTGGAGATAAGACAGCGTTTGATATTGGCAAGAAGTCTCACTCTATTCAGCTCTGTGGAATTCTGAGAAAGTGAAGTTTGGTTTCCTTTATTATTTTGAAGTTTATTTCTATGTGTTCAGTGCTTTACAAAACTGCTTTAAACCAGAAAGTGGTTGGATACACTGATGTAGCCACTATCCCTCAATCCGCTTACTTCACTTTTAACTTAGTTTTCTATAGCATTGCTTTTATTATTGATTTCCTAGTTTCCACTGGTTTGTATTTTTGAGTTTTTCTTATCATACTATATTTAGTCTTCAGGCATATACTGTTTTATATTTATATATATATACAGTACAGGCCAAAAGTTTGGACACACCTTCTCATTCAATGCGTTTTCTTTATTTTCATGACTATTTACATTGTAGATTCTCACTGAAGGCATCAAAACTATGAATGAACACATGTGGAGTTATGTACTTAACAAAAAAAGGTGAAATAACTGAAAACATGTTTTATATTCTAGTTTCTTCAAAATAGCCACCCTTTGCTCTGATTACTGCTTTGCACACTCTTGGCATTCTCTCCATGAGCTTCAAGAGGTAGTCACCTGAAATGGTTTCCACTTCACAGGTGTGCCTTATCAGGGTTAATTAGTGGAATTTCTTGCTTTATCAATGGGGTTGGGACCATCAGTTGTGTTGTGCAGAAGTCAGGTTAATACACAGCTGACAGCCTTATTGGACAACTGTTAAAATTCATATTATGGCAAGAACCAATCAGCTAACTAAAGAAAAACGAGTGGCCATCATTACTTTAAGAAATGAAGGTCAGTCAGTCCGGAAAATTGCAAAAACTTTAAATGTGTCCCCAAGTGGAGTCGCAAAAACCATCAAGCGCTACAACGAAACTGGCACACATGAGGACCGACCCAGGAAAGGAAGACCAAGAGTCACCTCTGCTTCTGAGGATAAGTTCATCCGAGTCACCAGCCTCAGAAATCGCAAGTTAACAGCAGCTCAGATCAGAGACCAGATGAATGCCACACAGAGTTCTAGCAGCAGACCCATCTCTAGAACAACTGTTAAGAGGAGACTGCGCCAATCAGGCCTTCATGGTCAAATAGCTGCTAGGAAACCACTGCTAAGGAGAGGCAACAAGCAGAAGAGATTTGTTTGGGCCAAGAAACATAAGGAATGGACATTAGACCAGTGGAAATCTGTGCTTTGGTCTGATGAGTCCAAATTTGAGATCTTTGGTTCCAACCGCCGTGTCTTTGTGAGACGCAGAAAAGGTGAACGGATGGATTCCACATGCCTGGTTCCCACTGTGAAGCATGGAGGAGGAGGTGTGATGGTGTGGGGGTGTTTTGCTGGTGACACTGTTGGGAATTTATTCGAAATTGAAGGCACACTGAACCAGCATGGCTACCACAGCATCCTGCAGCGACATGCCATCCCATCCGGTTTGCGTTTAGTTGGACGATCATTTATTTTTCAACAGGACAATGACCCCAAACACACCTCCAGGCTGTGTAAGGGCTATTTGACCAAGAAGGAGAGTGATGGAGTGCTGCGGCAGATGACCTGGCCTCCACAGTCACCGGACCTGAACCCAGTCGAGATGGTTTGGGGTGAGCTGGACCGCAGAGTGAAGGCAAAGGGGCCAACAAGTGCTAAACACCTCTGGGAACTCCTTCAAGACTGTTGGAAAACCATTTCAGGTGACTACCTCTTGAAGCTCATGGAGAGAATGCCAAGAGTGTGCAAAGCAGTAATCAGAGCAAAGGGTGGCTATTTTGAAGAAACTAGAATATAAAACATGTTTTCAGTTATTTCACCTTTTTTTGTTAAGTACATAACTCCACATGTGTTCATTCATAGTTTTGATGCCTTCAGTGGGAATCTACAATGTAAATAGTCATGAAAATAAAGAAAACGCATTGAATGAGAAGGTGTGTCCAAACTTTTGGCCTGTACTGTATATATATATATATATACACACATATATATTGACAGACAGACAGATATTTTATTATAATTTAGGAAAAAACAGTTCTCAGACACATTTGTTCTGATAGGTGTTAACCAATCAGAACAAATGTGGTATTTTTCTTTATCATACAAAATAAAGTCTCTGGGCACAGGTGGGTTAACCTCTTCATGACGTATATGCTGGACTTGCTTGAGTTTCTTAAAGACGTTTCACCTGTCATCCAAGAAGCTTCTTCAGTTCTGATGGACTAATGCAGACTCACAGGTTTTAAACTCTGTGTGGGTTGAGGTCACATGTGTGCTCTTAGTTTCAGAGTCGTTGGGGGTCACATGTGAGTCGGCTCACCTGGCGAGCCGACTCACATGTGACCCCCAACGACTCTGTAAGGATTCAAAAGTTAGTTTGTTTTATCTCCAAGGTAACGGATATAAACACAAGAGGGTCAAAGTTATGAGAAAGTATATGTTCCAATCATGTGCATACTGCATGCAACAGTGCATACTTTTTAAGGGCAGCTGCAAGACCTACTAAAAGTAAAAAAGAAAAAGTATACGATTCGGAACGCACCCACTGATTTTTTTCCCAATGTAATTCTGCAGGACGGACAACACAACCTCACATTTAAATAGCTCAAACATTTCCTTCCACATCCTAACTGTGCTGTAAATATCTCATCTTGACATATCATCCAGAGTATTAGTTATCAGTGGGAGTGAAGAAAAGAATGTCAGGCAACAGAATAAATGGGCCCAGACGTGCAAGGTGCATCCCCAGAAATAAATTTACTCTGAAACACTCTGTGGCTGATCCATCCCTCAACAGTCAAAGCGAGCTGCTGAAGAGATGCAGCGATGCGAGGGAGCCCCGTCTGAAACCACCTTTGTTCACCTCACCTCCGTCATTAATCTTCCATAGGCGTCTATAAAGGAGTCTGTGTGGAGAATGAAGAGGTTGTTTGAATCCCATGCATGCCAGGGGCCAAATGGTAAGTCGGAGTAAGAGGAAACTTAGGTTGGCACGCCGATTCCATGCCAGTCACTGCCAATACAAGCTATCAGGCCACATAGACAAGCCCCTTGACAAACTGCTCCATACTGCCAGAGAGTATCTCCAGACTGCCAAGTCTTATGGCGAACTGAGGATAGCTTAATGGAAACCACGGATCAAAACTGCACTTCTGTGTTTTTCTTTCTCCATTTATACTTTTTACGTGATCATGATGTATGAAATCCCATATAATTCAGCCCAAGTGTCAGCAACACACCTTTTAGATCCATCCAAGGTTCACATGTGTAAAACATTTCTTCAGTGTTTTTATCATGGGAAATAGGTATTTTCCTTGTGTTTTACAACCATGTCATTAATTATATTACAATGTGGGCATTTTCACTCCATATTTTTACATAATCTGTTAATCATTTACGTCACACACTCTTCATTTGTAATTCATAAAAATGTTAGGCACCACAGTTGGCTATGAAGCACTGAAACTAATAACTTTAATTGCTCATCTGTACCAATGCAAATACACTCAACACACGGGGAAATTATAATCTTAATAATGACAGCGATATATCATTTGTATGTTATGCACTGTGTGTCTCACACAAAGAGTTTGTCGAAACAAGCTGCGCAGTATGGCTTCCCTTTCTGCTCCTTGAAGATGCCATGGTTGAGCTGCCGCAGACAGAAGGCGCACACAAAGTGCTCGGGGTGAAACTTGCGATCGAGTGCGGAGATGCAGCGGCCTGTGATGGGCTCGCCACAGCCACCGCACAGAGTGCCCTGCCGCGAGTGGAAGTGCTGTGAGCAGAGGGGTCGACCGTCCAACTCCATGAAGCAGCCATCAGCGAAGGGCTTCAGACAGTCCTGGAGAGAAGAGCAGAAGAGAGGCAAAGTGAGGAGGAAGGACAAAAAGAGACAGGAGACTGAAGCAGGGACTGTTTCTAAAAGTTGGCTGCAGAAAAAGCATTCTCAGGCTGTATCTTGCTGCTAGTTCACACATATAAGATGAGCAAAAAGGGCAAATGTGGATATCATAGCAATGATAATGTGATTTTAATGGGTTCATAAAGTCAGTGGCTGCTGTTTGGCAGCTGACTCTGTTGGATGTCAGTCTCCTTGGCTGACTAACAAGGGAAACTTTGTAATTTCATATCAATTAGACCTCACTCACAATTGTTTCGCCATGCAATTATAATGTAACTTCTAAAAAATGTGAATTTAATGTGACAAATGTGACCTTTAATATGCTATGAAGAGAAAACTCAAGCAGTGTTGCGGCCATGTTTCTATCAACAGTTCATTAACAAGAGTCGGAGTCTGCAGCCGCAGCAGCTCTGTGAGGCTGCGCTTAAATTTTCACATCAGGATGTTAAACACGCTCACAGTGATAATGATAGAATGTTGTTGTGTGTTGTTTTAGTGTGTTAGCATGGAAACATTTGATACATAGCACTAAACTCACAGTGCAGCTGAGGCTGATGGGAATGTTGTGCTAGAGCCATGCCTCTAAGGTGGCTAAAACCTGTTGTACCATTTGCGATGGTTGATTTGTTGCCTCCATATCACCCATTAAAATCATGGACGGTACAACTTGTCAGGTTTTATCCCTTAGTAATAACATAAACTAAATTGATCTGTAGAGATGTTTCATGTAGTTTCTCCTGGCAGACATTTTGACTTGTCATAGCCAGTGGTGGAATGTAACTTAGAACACTTAATCAGTTCCTCTACTTTGGTAAAATCTGAGGTGCTTTTACTTTACATGAGTATTTTAATCTCTTGCCACTCTCTGCTTTTACTCCACCGAACTTCCAAAGGAAATGTTGCACGTTTTACTTCATTACTATTATTTGATAACTTTTGCTAATAGTTACTTCACAAATTAAGATTTTGTTGGACACAAACCATATAAAGATACACCTGAAAAAGTGGATTGATTAGAACATTAATTGGCACCTGTTTAGATAATTGTTTAAGTTATTTTTCATGCAAAAACATTTTATTGTTCCAAATTCTCAGACATGTGCTTTTCATTTTAAATATTTTAATGATTTTAATTTATTAAACTGGTTATTTTTTAAATTAATTTTTGTATTTAGTCATTTTTTTCTGCGTTGCGTAGTTTTACTTTTAAAACTTAATACATTTTCCTCATTGTCCTTAGCTACTTTTACTGAAATTAACATTGTCAATGCAGGGCTTTTATCAGTATCTGAGTATTTTTACAGTCTGGTATTAGTACTTTTACTTTACCCATTTGAAACCTGAGCAAAAATTAGTGATAAGAGAAATTTAAAAACAAGAAAATTAATGATAGAAAATAAAGTTAAAAACAAATGAACAAACATGGAAATGACCTGGAAAAAGAGCTTCAAAATTATAATTGTGTAACATAAGTTTAAATATATAATCATCATTATTATAAATATAGTTTTCCCTAGCTTTTCTAAAAATAAATACATCTAAATCTATATTTTTTTTCAATTTGTAGAACATTTCTTACCAAGTTGCCTTTTATCCCCATGTTTATGAAAGAAGTTGCACTAATGTGCTCAGGGTTGAAAAGTTTAAATACTTGTGAAAGGCGTCAGCACATGAAAAGTGATGTCACTCCAGGTTTTAAAGCTTCAAAAGGGAGCTACACCCATTTTAAAATTTATAGATGTTATTCCTATGGTCTAAGACCAAGACTAAGTCCAAAAATCTTAGTAAACATGAACAACTTGCTTCCAAATCCAAAAACTAAAAGTGCTAAAACTCACATTTGTGATGTAACATGGTGTGAAGTCTGGAGCTGCTCCTTAGACAATGAATTGGGAAAGATGTTCTAGATGACACTGAGAGCAATGTTTGTTTCACAACTGAGAACACTACAATAGTATAAAGCTCATTTGGGTATAAAGAGGAAAACAAACATTTTACAGGTCGACAAAATTAGTCTCCTGTTTATTATCTATGGAGCAGCTTCACACTTTTTACCCTGTGACATCACAACTTTAAATTTTACTCTACTTGGCTTTAATTTGACTTTTTATTCTGGTTTCTGGCTGTGAGAGAGAGTAGCTCATGTTCACAAATATTTATTTAACTTCCCAAGGCCTTGGAAATAACATATTGGAATTCTCAATTAAGACGGTGTTCCTCTTTAAGTAGAGGATCTGAATACTTCCTCCAGCACTGGTCATAGCAGTAAAAGCACAGGTGTGACTCAAAACATTGGCGATGGCTCTGTTCCATTTACATGTGCCTGTAAGCCATGACAGTGTGCCAATGTGCACAACACCAGAGCCCTGGCACAGCAACGCCCTAATGGAACAATCCATTCATGACTTTAGTAACACCTGTGTTTAACAAGTCGAAATGTTCACAGTGAGAAAGGTCAGTGTTGAACTGTTTCTTAAAACTATAGATAGATGTATGATGATTTTAGAACAGCTTATACAGACTACAATCTAATTCATATGCTTTGGGCGATTGTGTCGCTTGTAATTATCAGTGGACTTTTGATGACAAAAAAAAAGAGTAACCTCAGCTTTTGGTGATTTTGTGGTAACGTGTTATGAGAATATCTGCAGCAAGTTCACAGGTGCTACATTTAATGAACTACCAGATTTATTTTCAGCAGGAGGTTGATTAAAAAGGCTCGGCCACTTTTCGAGTGTCCACTTCATCCTCCTGATGGAGGGTTTGACCTCCTGAACTCTGGAGTTAGATGTAGGCCGGGTAAAATCCTGACCTCGCTGATAATGACTGCTTCATGTAAAACAATGTTTAGGTTCTGTGCTAACGGTGTGATGCTGGTTGTGATGGTAATGATATAACCGCAGTAATGACTGGGTGAGGTGGTCATAGTTGGATGTATTCCATGTTTTATGTGATGTTTTTATCTCAGTTGTATTGATGTAATTTTGAGCGGTAGGTTTTAAGAGCAGTGTATTTTATGTATTTCAGGTTTACAGCACTGTATTTTCAGTCAAGACTGATTTTCTTTAGGGGCCATAAAATATGAAAAGTTGCTACCTCATGTCAGAGCATCTCTACTGAGAGCATTTTAGATTTAACAATTGCTCACAGCCGAGTAACAGCAGACATAAAGCTGCACACTGAACCGTTTTTGACCAGATGCTGCATACAGAAGTAGGTTTGAAGTGGATGTAAAAGATACCCACACTGAGGAATATGGTTTCCTTGATTTATTTGCATCATTTCAACCGCAACGTATTCATCAGGCATACGGTTTTCATCAGCCTTGTGGTCAAAATGTTGCAAATAAAGCAAATTTGTGGGTATCTTTCTCATTTATTCCCAGGCTTGTACGTGAGCCAGAGCTGCGTGTGTGGTCTGAGGTAAGAGGCTCACTGCGCAGACGAAGCACTCTGGATGCCAGGTGCCATTGGCTGCAGTCAGGTAGTTCGCTCTCACTGATTCCCCACAGCCTGAGCACTTGGGAGAGAAGAGGTTGTAGAAGTCCTTGCAACAATATGGCTTCCCATCCTTTTCTAGGAAACCTGGGACAAGTACAAGATACACATCCTGAGTGATAATACATAAAATGATTTCCAACTTTTCTGCTCAAGTTGTCATTTCCAGTGAAGAGAAATGAATGCGCAAGCTTCTCACCGTCAGCTCCAAACAGGCCTCCGCAGTGTGTACAGAAGAAGTGGTCGGGGTGCCAGGTCTGGTCCAGAGCTGTCAGGATGTTCTGGTAAACCAGCCAGACGTAGAAATATTACATCATGATTTTTACTTCCTTTAAGGATTTGTAAGGTTTGTCTCATCTCATATGTTCAGAAGCACAGCAATGTGGATCATGAACCACATAAAGTGAATCATTGGAAAGGTTGCATTAGTTTCTGATTAATGACTTTGGTCTGCTGCATAAGCCCAGACTGCAAAATCCCAATATGGTTTTGTGTCTTATTTATTAGAATGACATGTGGGATATATCTAGAAAAATTAACTACATGCTACTGTATGTCATCATCCAGTCTTCATAAAAATATTGTTTAAACAAATGGAACTAAGGGACTGTGCCTTATTTATTAGCAGAGTGGGGTGGCCAGGGTGTGACTTTTTTTCTGTTTTCATCACGACCCTCCTTAGAGCTCTAAGTATTTATCCTTGAGCCTCTCTCAGTGACTGGGGGGAAATGCATGACCCTCCCTCCACCATAAATAACCATATTTTTGTGCAGTCACACCAAATGAAGCTCTGGCGAATGTTTAGTAAGGAAGACAATACTGTTCATGCTCAGACAGTAAGTTTCTTTCTCACCCTGCCATTCACTCCTTGCGCACGTGCTCACTCATTATCTCAAGGAGTCATTGTCTGTCTGTTGAGTCATCAGCTGATTCACAATCAACCAATAGCACAGTGACACATCTTCTCTGTCAGCCTATCATCTTACTGCTCCTCATTTTAAATATGGTTCTGTCTCTGCAGTAGTTCTTTCTTGCTGCAGTCGTGCACGCCCTCCACCTCCCCATCACCACCTAGTCTTTACAGATTCATCAGCCTCATCTGCCTCAGCAGCCTCAGAGTCATCAGCCACCACCTCCACGAGTGTCTGAACTCCATGGTAGGATTTATCTTGCTGCCACTCAGATGTCCCTCGACCACAAAATATCTCCCTCTGGTGTCCAAACCCCAAAGACGTAATCAGCAAAAATTATCTGTAAATCTGTACACTCATACTCTACGTTAAATATTATCTTTACTTTATTCTTCTGTCTCTCCTGATTGAAATGCTCCTGATTGGAGTCAGTGCAATGAGCTAAAAACTTAACCTCTGATGATCATAGGTTAAAACTTTTAAAACAAAATCTTGAAGTTGAAGGGTGTCAGGGTGTTTGAAATAAATGCAAAATTCGATCATTTAATGCTGAATGATTCTCCGATAAGCTAGATTAAAGAACACAACTTCTTCCCCAGTGCTTAAAGAATTATTTAAAGTGCCTCCCCTGTTTTGCACCACCTCTATAAATAACAAACAGTCCCTAATATAAAACAAATCAGAGGATAGATCAGAAAACAAAGGCAAATGTGACATTTAAGAACATGATAGGTGTTCTCAATAGTTAGAAAAATTTTGTTTTACATCGTCAACACATAATTAACAAAAAAAATGAAAACAAAAAAATATATATATTTAGTTTTCTCACCTTTGTAATGGGCCCCTTACAGTAGGCACAGCGAGGAGAGAAGAGCTCTTGGTAGTCTTTATCACAGTACGGCTGTCCGTCTCTTTCAAAGAAACCTGTGTTGCTCAGCTCCATCTTACACACCACACACACAAAGTGCTCAGGGTGCCACACTTCACCCAGTGCCGTGATCATCTACAGAAGAAAAACAATAGACATTTTTTGTCCTGTGTGTCCGTCTTTATGCAGATTTCTAATTCTAAAAATATATAGATTTAAACGCTGTGACTTATTGTACCTTTCCCACAATGCACTTGTTGCAGGAAGCACAGTGGCCCTTCGCTGTGGTGCGTACGCCAATCTTCTCCAAGTCAGAGCTCAGCCCTCCTAGCAGGTCATCTATAGTATCTGTTTTCCTGCTCGTGGTCGAGGCCTTTGCATCTGAGCCTGCTGTGCTGCTGCTGCTGCTGTCCTCGCTCTCCTGTTTCCCGCCTTCTGTTTGCCTCTTCACAGACTTCTTCTGTGTGAGTGGTGGTGGGGTCAGTGAAGACGCTGGGTCCTAAATGATGGAGCACAAATATCTGTTGTATTTAGGTATATATTTGATAAATGTATTTCTTAAGTCAGTGCTTAGTAATACTTCTATTCTGCTACTTGAAGCTGTGCAGTTTTGACATTAGTACGATGCTGCCCTCTGCTGTTCAACCTGATTAACTTCACTCATGTTTGGAAAATTCCTCGCTGCACATCCATTATGCTCTCTTACCATATTCATCACTACTTCATATGGACTAGAAAGAAAACTTTGCTGTGAAGGATCCTTTAATACACCAAAATACACTCGCTTGCCACTTTATTAGGTACACCTGTTCAACTGCTCATCAGCACAAATAACTAATCAGCCAATCACGTGGCAGCAACTCGCAACATGGTCAGGACAACCTGCTGAAGTTCAAACTGAGCATCAGAATGTGGAAGAAAGGGGATTTAAGTGACTTTGAACGTGGCATGGTTGTTGATCTGAGTATTTCAGAACCTGCTGATCTACTGGGATTTTCACACACAACCATCTCTAGGGTTTACAGAGGATGGTCCGAAAAAGAGAAAATATCCAGTGAGCAGCAGTTCTCTGGGTGAAAATGCCTTGTTGATGCCAGAGGTCAGAGGAGAATGGTCAGACTGGTTCAAGATGATAGAAAGGCAACAGTAACTCAAATAACCACTGGTTACAACCAAGGTCTGCAGAAGACCATCTCTGAACCAACAACACGTCGAACCTTGAAGCAGATGGGCTACAGCAGCAGAAGACCACACCAGGTGCCACTCCTGTCAGCTAACAACAGGAAACTGAGGCTACAATTCACACGGGCTCACCAAAACTGGACAATAGAAGATTGGAAAAATGTTGCCTGGTCTGATGAGTCTTGATTTCTGCTGCGACATTCAGATGGTAGGGTCAGAATTTCTTCTGATGGCTACTTCCAGCAGGATAACGCACCATGTCACAAAGCTCAAATCATCTCAAACTGGTTTCTTGAACACGTCAATGAGTTCACTGTACTCCAATGGCCTCCACAGTCACCAGATCTCAGTCCAATAGAGCACCTTTGGGATGTGGTGGAACGGGAGATTCACATCATGGATGTGCAGCCGACAAATCTGCAGCAACTGTGTGATGTTATCATGTCAATATGGACCAAAATCTCTGAGGAATGTTTCCAGCACCTTGTTGAATCCATGTCACAAAGAATTAAAAAGGGGGTCCAACCCAGTACTAGTAAGGTGTACATAATGAAGTGGCCGGGGAGTGTATATCAATAATGACAAAATTCAATTATTCTGAGACATGCACTTGCAGACACAGTACTGACCCCCTGTCCCAGACCCATCATATCCTGCAAGATAGCGTCCAGCTCCTTAGTGGGTGAGTCAGGGCTTGGAGAAGCTGCCACAGGAGCTGGCAGATCACTAAACCCAGAGAGAGAGGAGGAAATTAGAGAGCGTAACATCTCAAATTCTTGTTTAATTTAATTGAATCAATCTCCAAGAACACTAACTACCCTATGATTACTGTACAGATTCCTACTGAGGAAAAAGTATGTCTCTGAACATAATCGGAGGTCCTCTGTTTTTTTTTTACAAGAGCGTAATGTGGTGCCATGAGCTTTAGGAAAACCCAGAAGACAGTACTTATAATAGAAATCTACACAGAGGCCATACAGAGATCGAGAAATACTGGTGATCTAATATCATTTGCAATATTTCTGGGGTGAGATCTGTCAAAAAGTCTGGTAGAAAATTAAGCTCAAAGTGTACACTACAATTGCTGCGTACACTAAGATGACCTTTTAATTACAACATACTGTATAGTGTGCAACACATTTTAAGTAATTCTCTGTTTTCCTTTACATAGTTTACACAATGATAATGTGAATCAGGGGTCAACAAGAGCTTCAAGCATGTGCTTCACCTGTACACATTAGAGCAGACTGGGCCTTTTTGTTTCTTGTTGACTCCTGCATAAACTGGAGCTGTCCCCTGCGGACACACAACCAGAATATACCAGAGTTCTTGTGATTGAAGTATCGAGATTACAACTTAATCAATCATAGGAAATTCCTAATTGCAGATTTTAGCTAGGTTAGTCGACAATGTATCTACGATCGAAAAAGACATAGTTAAGATGGTTATGGTGCAGTGTGAGTTTGTATTTTTTGGGTTTGTCTTCACCTCCCCAGCAGCTGGATCAGCACTCTTGTTCTCACTGACACTCTCTGAACCTCCTGTGTTCAGGGCCAGCTCCTCCAACAGCAAATCTGTAGCAGCATATGGGTTGATAAATCTTCTAACCACACGTATACTTAAATACATATACGGACATATATTTACACAACACAGCCACTAAAACACATTGATTGCACTTTCTGGGTGTTAACTGTCACACCAGAGGATGTGTATAATATGTTTGGTGTTAAATGTTTCCTGTTAAGTGAGACAGAGTGCACCTCGATGTGCAGATAAAAAGGTGTTAGCAGATTAGTTTGAGGTTGCTTCATGCAAGTCAGCTTCCTCAGGAAGTGATGATGACGTTGCAGAAGTGAAACTTGTAATAATGTTGCAAGACTCAACTCTCTCCTTCACACAATGTAAGCCCACACATCTAAGAAAATGGGAAGATATGAGTATGAATAATGTCTTTCTGTTGAAGTAGACAACACGGCAGTTAGACAAGAATAAGCGTGTAGCTTTTAGCACTGTTGTGTTCGACAAGTGATCGTTATGTCTTCCCATGTCTCTACACCTCAGAAAAATCTGCACATCCTATAATTTATTTTCAGAGATGCAAAATTAAATCAAACTGTTTTATCTTGAAAGATAGGAGTTGTATGTTGTGATGATCAGTAAAGCACATTTTTGTTTTAAATTAACTAAGCTAAAGCAACACTTATTAACAACACAATGTAAAAAAAAAAGAATTATTCAAATAATATCACACTGAACTGCATTTAAATGTACAGTATATCCTACAGGCTGCTTGTACTGTACTTAGTGTGAGTCACAGAATACATACTGAGAAGCACTGTCATCTTTTTATATGATCAATTTGAAATCATAGCACCTTACACTTTAAGTTTTAGAATTACAATAGTCACTCTACATCTAACAATCCGTCCACTGATCCCTCTGAGGATGATCAGCAGCGTTAAACATGACAGACAGTTGTCTTACCGAGCTCGTCCATGTTGTCTTCTGCTCTCACCACTTCAGAGTGAGTGTGTGTGTTTTTTTGCTGCAGGTTAGTTACTAAGGTAACAGCCCAATATCACATCTGGTCAAAACCATCACTTCCTCTGACAAAGATCTGTTTTCGTTTTTAACTGAAGCAAAACCTCTCATGGTTAGTATGAGATGTTGCTGTTTCCTTGTAAAGAGGAAACAAAAAACTGTCTCTGAAACAGAGATAACGACTGATTTTTGTGCTCAGTTAAGTGTGTTTAAATCTGTTGCAACCATGTCATGAGTTGATTGTGCTTCTGTGTACAGAATAAGTGCAGCTATGTATATATGATAGTAAATAAACTCACAATATTGGAAATGTGATCTGCACTGCAGATTACCACAAGTGTTTGTAAGGCAAGATGTTTATTTGTATATTTCCGAACAGAGGAAATTCATCATGCTTTGCATAGGCCAACTTGATGCATTTAGAAACATAAGTGGAAAGCAAAAACAATTTAAGCAGAATAGAAATAAAATATAGTAAAATAAAAATAGACTAGTGCTCTCACATTGTCGCCTCACTACTGTCTTACACACAACTGATTATCACTTTATCAGTATTTATTTGGCTCGTAACATTTTTATAACTTTATCAATACGCGCATAAAACAAACAAAATATATAGTATAGAGATATGTTGAGGTGTATCATTTCCAAGTAGCTTCAACTGTAATATGTGTGTGTACAGCAATTTAATTATATGATCGAAAGAAGTACATTTTAACATGATGCACATCCCCATTTACAGCAGTAGTCAAATCATGCTTAACCCCTTGAACTCTGCAATAGAAATGGTATTAACATTGTGCCATTAAAAAAAACACAGAAATTGGGCATTTTTTCATCATATTTTGAATAATTATACCCCCAAAAAATACTGATGCATAATATTTTTAAATGTAGAAACATAAACAATAGAAACTCCCATCAGATAATTATTGTTCTTAATTTGAGTAAGCCAGATACATTGCTCCAAATGATTATGCAAATGGTGCGCAATTATAGGAACTGCCTGTTTAATAGGTTTATATGAAGTTTAGGATCTTGCCATATCCTCCTGAGACCATGTGTCCTCATATGAGGACATTACATTTTGGGTTCATTCTGCCTAACTGAGGCCTGTTGTCCTCTTCCGTGGACACTTCTTGTGCCATCTAGTGGTAGTAAGACGACAAAACAATAATCCATGTAAAAACAAGATGGCAGCCACAGTCATCATAATCAGGCAGTGATGTCAAAGATTCAATATGATTTAAGAGAGGTCGTCAAGTCTTTTCAAATGAGTTTAGGGAGCCATTTAGGGAAAATCTAAGCTTTCAAGTCTAATAGACAGTAACAGCTCTTTCACCCACCTGTTGTGAGATGGAGGTTGAGTGTGAGTCGCCTGGCCAACAGGGTGGTAAAAGCGAGAACAGTCTGCATGACTTGAGAGGTAATAGGCTGCAAGGGGGCACCAAACAAGGCCAAGAGCGGTGCAGGACTGATAGTAGTATTATATGCTGTGCTAAGAGTTCTGAAGATTTCGGACCAGGAGGTGGCAAGCATGGGACAGAACCAGAGCATGGTCGGCTGGAGACTGTTTGCACCTATTACATGAGTCAGTTACATTGTGGTAAATCCGAGAAAACCTCAAATTAGCGTAGTGAGCTTTGTGCACAGGAGGAGTGAAACAGCCAAGCAAGGTTCCCAGCTCTTGCTCCCAAGAATCCTTGGGGCCGGATGCTGGGCTGTCAATAGTGGAATTGATAAGGCTGTAAATGCAAGAAATTAGACGCTTTTGTTCAGGATCAAGAGCCAATAGAGAGTCTACCAGAGTTGGAGGGGGTTCACAAGGGAATTTGGGGTTCTGATTCGGAATAAAATCAAATTTACTAGTTTAAATTTATTTATTTTTGATTAATAATATTTCCAGTTTGATACGCCATACGAGTTGGACCAATTTTAGCGATAGTATCAAACCAAGATGCTGTTAATTAGAAAGTACTTGTTTGAAGTCATTGGGAATTTATCATCAACTCGTTGAAGGACATCGGGACTTTATTGTTGTCATCTTGTTTGAGGATCAGGACTTAATTATCGTTGACGATGTTTAGTTTTTCATACATAATGGGTCCTACTGATCCCAAATACCTAGCAGAAAATAAAAATTCATACTAAACAAAAGTTTGGGTCTCAGGAGGATATAGCTGGTTGTACTACTTTTATTCCAGGGTCCTACATAGCTTCCTAACTGTGTTATACTGGTGAGCCCAATACAGACACATACTGGACCACAGACCCTCATCTTCCAGGACCAAAGATATTTCTAAGATAGATTGTGACAGTTCCCATTTGCATTGTAGTCACCATATGGCGCTCAGTCACCTCTCCGCGCACATACCTGCGTTATCTCTCACCACTTTGGTCGCAACCATTGGCTTGTATAGCAGGGGTATGCGGGGCTTTGTATGTTTTTAAAACTTAATAAATAATCAGTTAATCTAATATGTAATGCCAACGTGATGTGTGTCAATTAAACAATGCATACAAATTCTAAAACCCCGAGCAAAGAAGCTTTAATGAGTAATTTCTATCATTTTCTACATAACACCACCCCTTGCTTTGTGGTTTAGTCTTTTACCGGAAGAGTCCGTGTTTACAGCGCAGCTTTTGCTCCACGTTAGCATCGTTGATTTGTCAAGAAGTGAACAGGGATTTATATTCCGCTTTTGTACCTAACAGTTTAATGATTTTGTAAAATAATTATTATTTCACGCCACGATTAGCATGTTTGTTTGGAGGCGGAAGTGCCGCCGACACGCATAGCAATGACGAGCTGGCTAACGTAGCGCCGAGGTTAGCCAGCTAGGAACCTAGCAGCACAAGCTAACTTCTCACACAGCAGCGGTACATCCAACACGGTGACACAGGTAACAGGGCGTCAGCTTAACTCTGGCGACACAGGCGACTATGTGTGCATGCTCGACGAGTGACAACCTCACACTGACACATATCATGTCCCTCTGCTCCCCCCACATTGCCCTCCAGGTCCAGGAACCAGAGCAGCCATGGGTGCGGAGAGCAGCGCGGTGCGGAGCTGTACCCTGGAGGAGCCGCTCCTGACCCTGCCCTCCGGACTCACCATGTACTCGGCGATGCTCCAGGATGGAAAGCCTGCATCCGTGTTTGTCTACAAGCGGGACAATGAGGACAAAGTCAACAAAGCTGCTAAGGTAGTTCAACTGAAGCCTCGATATCACACTGACCAGGGCTGCCAATCATAAGTTGTATTTGGGGCTTAATATCAGTAGGTTAGTTAGTTGTGTTTGATTAGTGTCTTGCACATACAGGTGTCCAGCTCACGTGGATTTACATGACCCCACAAACACTGTTGCAGTAGTTAAGCAACGTTTGTCAGTGGAGAACATAATAATAAAGTCTGCTATACATAGATCAGCCAAGATATTAAAACCACAGACTGATGAAGGGAGTAACATTGATCATCTTGGCCACCCATACATGGCAACAGCACTCTCTGATGGCAGTGGCCACCCAGCAGGACAGTGCACCATGCCACATGTCAAAAACAGCTCAGGAAAGGCCGGAGGAACATGACAAAGAGCCCAAAGTGTCAACCTCACTTCCAAATTCCCCAGATCCCAATTTGATGGAACATTTTTTGGACCAGACGTACCCCAATCCACAGTGGAGCCTCCCTGGATCAGCCTTGCCTCTGACATTTTGAGGCATGGGCACAGGACCTCTGGGGGTTCCCTATGGTGTCTGGTATTGGGGTGTTAGCAGTGGATCCTATGAGTCCTGTGGGTTGTGAGGTGGGATACAAACATGTCACAAGGATGCTCAGTCACATTGGGATTTAGGGAACTTGGAGGGCAGGTCAACACCTTGAGCTCTGTTTTTGCAGTGTGGTATTGTGCTGTTGTCATGAAGGGGGGGCACTTGGTCTGTAACTGTGTTTGTATCGGTGAAGAGCATCAAGTTGTGTCCATATAATACAAAGACCCGAGGTTTCCCACCAGAACAATGCACTACAACAAGATGATCAATGTTATTCACCTGCCAGTGGTTTAATGTTTTGCCTGATCAGCATGTACACATGTAGAAAATCATGTGCAAATAACGTAGCTCTCAGAGGCAAATGCTGGACCATCAAAGTTGCAAGTCTCATAATGATCTCAAAACACGCCCATAAAATCAATACCACCTAAATATTATGCTTTCCACGTACAGTAGTGTGTACTCGATTTAAATTGCTAATAAGTGGTTTTAGCACTCACGTTGCATAATCTGTTTCTATTTGTGGAATTTTCCATCAGCTGCATGACATTCACTGTATAGGAAATAAAGAAATGCTTTCATTTCCTGCAGCACCTAAAGACCTTGAGGCATCCATGTCTGCTGCGCTTCCTGTCCTGCTCAGTGCAGGACGGCGGCATCCACCTGGTGACGGAGCGTGTGCAGCCCCTGGAGCTGCTGCTGGACAGCCTCTCCCCAGAGGAAATTTGCGCAGGCATCTATGACATCCTGCAGGCACTTGTGTTTCTGCATGAGAGGGTGAGCAAAGAGAATCGGGCGCAATTGTCTCAGTGCATGTTATTAATGAACGAGAGAGAGAGAAAAACAAGTAGGCCTGAAGGCATCATTATGAAAAGTACCTGCTGAGGTGGTGTTTTGTGTCTCACAGTAGTTGTGCAATTTGGTGTCTGTCTGTGTTAAACAGGCATGGATAAATCCCTAACATGTCTTCCTTAACCACCAGGGTAAATCAAGCCACAACAACGTTTGCATTTCGTCTGTATTTGTCAGTGAGGATGGTCATTGGAAACTGGGAGGGATGGAGACTGTCTGCAAGTTCTCTGAGGCAACGCCTGAGGTGAGAGAGTGAATTAATAGAAAGAGTCCAAGGTGAAGCCTGAGTTTGTAGTTTTTTGGTTCTTCCAAGAATTTAAAGCACCTAGGTCGGATAGTTAAAGATTGATTTAGTATATCAGATTTATGTTTTATTTTATATATTTTCTTTTTCAACTCTTCAGTTTATCGCAAGCATTAAAAATGTGAGAGAGGCCAGCTGCATCCCTCCAGAAGAGCAGGTAAGCTGATCAAAGGTTGTGATGGAAAAATGGAAGAACTTCCCCTTTTAGTTCACAAGTTCTCATGAAACATGTTGCCGACAGGTTGAGGGTTTTAAAACGCTTCCTGATAACATCGCTCACTCTCGGGACTGTTACTCTTTTGGAATGATGGTGGAGACGCTCATCACTCTCCTGAACGGCCATGGTGAGTAGAGTAATGGCTCTGTGATGTCTACAGCCGTGTTTACAGGTGACCTCAACTGTCATGTTGCACTTTGTTAAATTTCATCAGTACATACAGACTTTCCTGTGTTGTTTCCAGTGTCACAGGAGCTGTCTGACAGTCTGGACAAGACCCTGCAGGCAGGCCTGCTGAACCCCGACCCCTTATCTCGACCTCCACTCAGCTCCTTGCTGACTCATGACTTTTTCAGGTTAGTTTTGTCATGTTTGCTTTTGCTATTGTCAGTACATGTTGAAAATGATTTATTTTTAGATACACAGCATATTTCTCTGTGAACAGGAATGACTTTCTGGAGGTGAGGACTTTTCTGAAGAGCCTGACCTTGAAGATGGAAGAAGAAAAGAATGAATTCTTTAAGTGAGAATACGGTCTTGGTTTACACTTTTTTTAATTTAATATGCTCTTTTGTAGTTAGTGCCCATGTTCATGCAAAACAGAACATCATATTGCTGGCAAATGTTGTTTTGCAAAGCAGACTACACTTATAGATTTTAGGCAGATATTAGTCTGAGTGGGCGGAAGTTTGCTGCATAGATCAGCCTCTCATTGGGCGGAACGAGCCACCCGCTGAAGTCCCGCCCTACCACCTCCGGTTGTGTAGCAGTTTTCAACTGTTTTCAACACGTCCTTTACTAACTTGTGCGGTGTTTGATCTTGCGGGATGTAGCCATTTTTCTGCCATGGTCCGCGTCCTGTAGGCGATATTTTTGTGGGTGTGTTACACCAAAACCTGTTTCCCCCTGGCAATATTTTTGCAAGCGCACCGTTGCTGTGGCACCGCCCAGAATGATTGTGATTGGTTGAAAGAAGTACAAGCAGCAGGGGCGTTTTTTCCTCCAATCTTAAAGTGAGAGTCGGCCCAGCCAGACCTTTCTTTTCTTGAGAAAGGTCTGGTGAGCGAGACTAGGCAGATATACTCTGAGTTGTGTTGCTTTTGTATAATGAACATTCTAGGCACCTGATTACCACAGTTGAGAAGTTAAAATTGTATTTCTTACATTTCCTCAGTTCAATAATGTCTAATTTTTACTATACCAAATTTCCCAAGTATTTCCTTAACATGCTCATTGTGCATTTGTTTCTAGGTTTCTTCTAGACCGGGTCCAGAGTCTCCCTGAAGAGCTGATAGCTTCACGCCTAGTCCCCAAACTCCTCAACTCTCTTGTTTTTGCTGAACCCATGGCTGTTAAAAGCTTCCTGCCTCATCTTCTAAGGCCAAAGAAGGGTAACATGACATTTTATTAAACTCCTTCTGTTTCTGCTAATAATAACTTGGATCTTTAATTCCATACCCAAGAGAAAGAAGCAATTTATAGCTGCCAGGCAGTTACATGAAACTGAAAGTCACTGTGGCTCATGCTTCTCTTTCTTATTTTTCGTCTGTGTGGACAGATTCAGGTGGTGGCAATGATGAAGAATGCCTGCTGTCTGTGTCCCTTTACCGTAAACATGTGATTCCTCAGCTTCTCAAGCTCTTCAAAGTCAACGAGGAACACATCCGGATTGTGTTGCTGGCTCACATCCACATCTACGCTGAGTTCTTCTCCCATGATGAACTCAAAAACCAGATCCTACCTCAGGTGCAGTAGAGACATAGTACCATGAATTTTAACTTTGATATCAGTGATGAACAGTTTTGGGTAATATGCCTTTTGGCTGAGAGTAAGAGCAATACCACTCTCATGTCTGTGCAGTACTTATGGAGCTAAAGCCAGTAGCATCAAGAGTGGAAGCAGTGGTTAACAGCTAGCCTAGCTCACTACAAAAAATGTCACACTGCTCTTTCAATCTCTAAAAATGGATTATGATGTATAAGAATTCCCAGAACAAGAAGAATGTAAATTGTTTTTGTGTGTTACATTGTAAGGCAGACTAAGATGTCGTGATGCAGTTCTCTTATAGTGAAATAATACTTTTTTCGTTCCTGGCTGCAGGTTTTGCTAGGAATGCGAGACACCAATGATTCCCTGGTTGCCATGACATTGCAGAGTCTGGCAGTGTTGGTGCCCTTGCTGGGTGCTCAAGTGGTTGTTGGTGGAGAGAGGACCAAGGTCTTTAAACGCACCACACCCAACTTCACCAGGTCTACAGAGGTCACCCCCGAAAGTAAGCAACACTGACCTAATACTAACAATAACAGTGAAGCTTGGCATATGTTTATAACCCACACAACAGTGCTTATAGACATTAGATTATTTATACAGGGTTTTCCCTGGATTTGTTTTAGACAAAGGTGGCAAAGGCTGGAAAATGTGCATTGTGTGTGGCATACAGTTTGTGCATGCACCTTTAGTGTGGCTGCTTTATGTCTGTTAAATATTGACTAAAAAACAAAAACAGAATGAAGTTCAGTTTTACTTATAAAGCTATTTCTCAACATTTCAAACGACTGTTTTTATTTATAGCGCTGGTTATTGTTTGACGATTATCAGTACTGCTAGCAGAGGCAGATATGCCACCATAACCACAGTAAACTGTGCTGCTGTATGTGCAACACATTTGGGAGACATGTCATGACCAGATCCAGAACATTACAACAGAAGGTTTATTCATTTATTTATTTATTCAAAATGTAGACAAAGAAAGTATACAGTACATACTTGTCAATATATTTTTATTATAATCAACCTTCTCACATTCACAAACTTGCATTTTGATATTTTAGATCAGTTAAACAGATTCATTAATTTTCCATGAGCACTTATCCTGTTGGGGGTGGCGGGGAGGCTGGAGCCTATCTCAGCTGGCATTGGGTGGGAGGCAGAGTTCACCCTGGACAGGTTGCTAGACTATCACAGGGCTGACACATAGAGACACACAACCATTCACCAGTTTACCTGCGTGTCTTTGGCTGGTGAGGGAAAGCCAGGGTACCTGGAGAAAACACACTGACACAGGGAGAACATGCAAACTCGGCACAGAAGGGCTTCCCCACCCCAGGGTTCAAACCAGGAATGTTCTTGCTGCTATGACAATGCTAACCACCGTGCCACCGGTTAAACAGATGAAACAAGAGTTACTGGTTTCTAAAATGATCTGTGAAGTACCACGTCTCAAAAACTATACAGGTTCCTGAGGTTTAATATCACTCCTATTTACTTTTGTACCTTAAGCTAACCTAGCTGTCATTACAAACAACAGCAAGTCATTGCCATAACACCAATAATAAAAGGCAGCCTGCCTTTTGAGTTAGATAGGCAGGGACAACCCTTGTGTATGATCCTGCTTCTTATCAAAACAAGATATCAAGAACAGTTGGCAGTAGTAAGCAACAAGACATTTCTAGAGTTGCAACAGAAAGCAAGTTCATACAAATGTTTATAGAAGTGATTTAAGACTGGGGAAATTTAGACTGTTAAGGCTCCTTGTGCCGCTTTTTGAGTTTGTAATGTGGGACACATGAGAGACTTGTGTTCATTGGATACAGATACAGCATCATAGTACAAGTAAAAGCCGTACAGGAACAGGCAAACTGAAGTAACTGACTATAGGAGGAAGCCTTACAGTAGTATGTTGAATAAGCTCACAGCGTTATATAGTATAGGACACTGAGATCATCATTCTGTCTCCGCGTTTGTGTGTGTCAAAGAGTGTCTCTGTGTTGGCTGTAAGGTTCAAGGAACCATTTTTGAGTGTACCTGTTCAAACTAGACAATATGGATTTGGATAAGTGAATGTCACTGTTGTAATCCCTCAGTAACCATTGCATGGCCAAGCTGCTCAAGAGACTAAAGTATAAAAAAAATCCATGTTCTCTAGCAAACTATTTATGGATTGCTTAAGATTTTAAACAAAAAAAAAAGTAACATTTGGTGAACACTTATGTTACTTTACCTCTGTTCTTTAGCTTCACCTGTGCATATAGTTGGAGGCTCCCACCCTCAGATGGCCCAGCCTTCAAAAGGCTTGTATTTGTTCCCCAGACCATCAGGGACTGAAGGCCTGGTCCTGGGTCATATGGATAGCTTACCTGCTAGTAGGGAGACTCCAAGAATTTACCCTGTGCCACCAAAATCAGGTATGACCCACCCATACAAATAACTTTAATTGACAGTTTGACGTCCCTGTGTCTGAATCTCTGTCTGTCTTTTTGACATGTTTCAGATGTCAGCAGACAAATGTCTCTACCTTTGAACGGCTTTCGTCAGGACACTGCGATAGAGCCCCTGTCATATAGCCCAGAGCAGACTGACAGACGAGAGGGTCCAGTGGAAGACTGGCCTGACTGGAGCGACCCTGAAGAGAGTGAGAACAGAGGTGGACAGTCAGTCCAGATCCGCATTCAGGCCTCAGAGAGAGAAGATCCCGTCAGCAGCAGACTGCCACTCATGCACTCAAACATGGAAGAGGAGCCTTGGGATGACTTTGAGGACACTGAACCTACCTCAGATCTCTCCCCTACAGCTCCTCTGTCTGACCCAGTTATACTCACACCACCCAGAGGGGGCACCACTACACCTGTAAAACATGCTCCTGAGGCAATGAGACTGGGTTCCTCCAAACCCCTCAAACTGACCTCAAGCCTGCTACAGCCCACCCAAAGCAGGACCACTTCCTCATGGGACAATGGCTGGGCTCAAGAGACAGACTCAGAAAAATCACACAACCCATTAAACCCCAAACCCACAGTGCCACAAAAGAATGGTGGAAGAGGAGGTCTGGGAGAGGAGTTCACCATTAGGGTGAAGAAAAAGGAAGAGCCAGATCCAGAGCTGGATTTGTTTGCAGACATGGTGCCGGACATCAAACTGTCCTCTTCAGCTCTGCTGCCACTGGACAAGTGCAGTGTGAGTGATGCTGGACTGCCAACAGCCTCCTCAGAAAACACTAAATCTCTGCAGGTTGACTCATCCATCGATACTGTAACACTCACTGCCAAGTTCGCAGTTGCCAACCAGACTGAGGTGAGTGTGCTTGGTGGTGTGTTTTGTTTTGTTTTCCCAGGATTTTGCTTGAGTCAGGTTTTCAAGATTGAAATAGGAAGAAATTAAATGCTCAAATACTTCTTAGGTGTTTATAGCAACTTTAAGAGACTTGATAAGTACCAATGGGAACCAGAGCTACAAAAATAAGTATTCAAAATGGAGTTGTATAAGGCACTTATCCGCAGTCAGTGTATTACCGACAGCAGATGGCAGTTAGCCTGCCCCCAGTTTGGAGAAGCAGGCAGGAGTCTTGACACGGGGCAAGGAATTGTACTGCTGTGGAAGGGGGCCCTGGGCAGAGGATAAAATATTTTAGCCACCTCAAATAAATCAATGCCGGTTTAAGTGTACGCCATATTTAGGGTGCTTTCACATCTGCCCTGTTTGGTTCAGCTCAATAGAACTAAAATTTGTCATCCAAAATCATGAAACAATGTCATAGTACAGTATGTCGTCCAAAATCATGAAAATAAATCATAGTATAACATGTCGTCTAAAATCATGAAAAAATGTCATAGTATAACATGTTGTCCAAAATCATGAAAATAAATCATAGTATAGCATGTCGTCCAAAATCATGAAAAAATGTCATAGTATAACAAGTCGTCCAAAATCATGAAAAAAAGTCATAGTATAGTATGTTGTTCAAAATCATGAAAAAATGTCCTAGTACAGTATGTCGTCCAAAATCATGAAAAAATGTCCCAGTACAGTATGTCGTCCAAAATCATGAAAATACATCATAGTATAGCATGTTGTCCAAAATCATGAAAAAAGTCATAGTATAACATGTCGTCCAAAATCATGAAAAAAAGTCATAGTATAACATGTCATCCAAAATCATGAAAAAAAAAAGTCATAGTATAGTATGTCGTCCAAAATCATAAAAGTCATAGTATAACATGTCATCCAAAATCATGAAAAAATGTCGTCGTAAAGTATGTCGTCCAAAATCATGAAAAAAAAAAAGTCATAGTATAGCATGTTGTCCAAAATCATGAAAAACCTTACCTTTAACTCATTTCACTTGTGATCCCTTGACATGAAGCCCTTATCGCAGGGTGCATAGTAATAATTTGTGAGAAGCTGTTCTCAGATCGCTTCATTTTAAAAGTTCTTAGAGGACACACGAGATAAAAATAGCACATGATAAGAAAAATCAATGAAAAATATTGTGAATTTTGCACCTTCTAATATGCTACTTTAAAGACCTGCATTTGTGAAACGAAACTATTAGAAATCCAAATGCACTGGTAGATATATGTACTCAGCTATATTATTAATTTTTAAAGTCACATTGTCTTGTTAATGAATTTGCATAGGCAATGAAAAATGATAGCTTTTCTCTCAGTTTACAGATCTCCGTGATTATTGCTCATTTACATTCTTTGTTTCTTTTTCTCTCACAGGCTGAAACAGATGGTTGGGGAGATGGAGATGACTTGAACTGGGAGGATGAGAGTGCCTGGTGATGACGTTTGATCCCTCTGCTTCATCTTGAGCAAAAGACTCGACCACTGGAAAACTCAAATGCTCAAAATGCACCGTTTCAGAGACAGTCGAGCTGAAAGTTGCTCCAGTTCTCATTTAACAGCATGATGCAGTAAGAATGACAATGATGGACTCTTTATAACCTGGACATTTATTATCAGTCTGTTCATTAAGATAACTTGCTTTTAAACGGGAAGGACTGGAAGCTTATCAGAAGATGCTGGACTTGGATAAATGAAGCCATTGTATTTTTGTTTGCCAGCTAATACTAGTCACCTCTAGACAAATGAGGATCTTAATCAGAGGTGAAGGTCATCTTGTTTTCATCTGCTTCTCTCTCTCTCTCTTTTTTTTTTTAATGTGCCAACTTCACAACTGGCATGAAGATCAAGATTTACTTTTTGGCAAGACACAACTTGTCCAAAATGTGTCGGGTTTGATTTACAGAAGGCTTGCACTTTGAATGAATGTGAAATAGAAATTACGTAATTTATTAGCTTTTTGGTTGCTGGTGAAGTAAAGATTTTACTGTATCAAATATGACCCTGTTTTGTTTTGTAAGACATTTGTTAGATTTATCTTTTGAGTTAATTGCAATTGTTTACAGCTGCTGACAGCAAGTTCTTAAAGGAAAACTTCACCCACAGAATGACCTTGAATTTGTGAAGGAAACGTTCTCGCGTGCCTCCACAGAAGATGGTAAACACTGATTTATTGGGGACCGTGTTAAAACCAGTACAACTACTCAAAACATCCATGCTCTATTCAAAGTCAGACGCCAATACTAAGATCTTTTAGCAAGGATGCATGTCTTATGGAAGCAAATGGTCATTTTGTGGATGAAGTGTTTAAGTCTTTAACTTGGACTCTCATGAAACAGGCCAACAGAAAAATCCTCTAGCTATTATGAGTACTCTACAGGAATTTGTTATAGCACAATTTTGATAACTAAGGTAGTATTAAATTAAAAAAAGAAAAGAAAAATGCTGTGTATTCAAACAAGTTTAATAAACAATAACATCAATCAAAACTGACCACAGACAGGTATAAAAACTGAAGAGAGACTGTTCGGCAGTAGCGAAGGGTACACAGACGTCCACAGGCCCAGACCTTGGTTGAATAGTTGTTCTGTACATGGAGTAAATAAATCTGGGCCTAGAAAGTGGCTATGTTGTGTGTCTGGCTGTACTGATGTGGCTTATGAGGGTCTGGAGCTCCTGTAGTCTGGATTCCAGCCACTGTGGAGGTGGTGCAGTTGTGTTGGCTTTACCTTCAGTGAGAGCCTGAAGGGCTTTTAAAGCACTCTCAGCTGTCTGGATGTAGCGGCTGTACTCCTCCTCTGCACTGGTCTCCTGCCGAGCTCTCTTTGGACAGGGCTGAGAGGGAGGAATAGTTACAGGGAAATTATACGTCTTTCCGTGAATGAAATTCTCACTCACGCAACACGATTAAATTTTACATCAGAAGAGGCAGAAATCTTGCTTGTACAAATGAAATTTTGACCTGCTGAGCAGGACAATATGTAATGATTTTATTGAGATTCTTTTTTGCAAAATAAACTACTTTACCATGCTTGTGTTATTGCTAGGGAAAATTTGGACACAGTTACTAGAAATGTATCAAATATTACAGGGTTCCCTCAGATCAATAAAAAGTCTTAAAGGCACTGAATCCATTAATCTAAAACTTGGTATTAAAAGGTCTAACTTTTAAAAGTCTAAATGTCTTAAATCTAACTTGCTTTAAGCTATAAGAAACATATCTCAAAAAATTATACATTTATAAAAACTACATATATATGTCTAGGCAGTGAAAACCACCAGAAGTGGGGCTTTAATCAAAAGGTCAGTGCAAATTGCACCCTCACTGAAAACTGAGGACTCCATTCACATATCCATCTCTCTTTTCAAGTATTTCCAGTCAGATATCAAAATAAATAATATAAAAATAAGTATGTCGTCTGAAATCATGAAAAAACATCAGTGTAGTATGTCTAAAAAATCCTGAAAAAAAGTCAGATAATAGTATGTCTTCCAAAATCCTAAAAAAACATCATAGTAGTATGTCGCCAAAAATCATGAAAAAAAGTCATAGTATAGCATGTCATCTGAAACGTTAAAACGTCATAGTATAGTTATGTCCTCCAAAATCACAAAAAAAATGTCAGTGTAGTATGTCTTCCAAAATAATGATGAAAGGTTATAGTATAGTATGTTGCCAAAAATCATGAAAAAATGTCATAGTATTGTATGACGTCCGAAACAACGTTAAAACGTCATAGTGTAGTTATGTCGTCCAAAATCACAAAAAAATGTCAGTGAAGTATGTCTTCCAAAATAATGATAAAAGGTTATAGTATAGTATGTTGTTAAAAATCATTAAAAAGGTCATAGTATAGTATGTCGTTCAAACTCATGAAAAAATGTCATAGTATAGTATGTCTTTCAAAACCATTTAAAAAAGTCATAGTACAGTATGTCGTCCAAAATCCTGAAAAAACATCATAGTATAGTATGTTGCCAAAAATCCTGAAAAAATGTCATAGTATAGTATGTCCTCCAAAATCGATTTTTGCCTCAAATGAGGCAGAAATTTTGCTTGTACAAATGAAATTTTGAGGACAGGACATTATGTAATTATTTTACTAAGATTCATTCTATAGACATACACATCATACATACATACATACATATCCATCTCTCATTTCAAGTATTTCCAGTCAGATATCAAAATAAATGATATAAAAATAATCACTGATAATAGCTTGGTCTATATTATGCTGCTACCACCTACTGTGCATGTACACAAGGAGGTAGTGTTGCACTAGCCAGCTGCCACTCAGTGACTTGGACAGTTTAAATATGAAGAAACGCCGTGCGTGGTCATGCATATTCAGGAAGCCTGTGAATGGAATCTTATTTAACTTGGTGACAACACTAACCTCTGAATTTGCAACAGCTTCGGCAGCCAGTTTGTTCAAAGAATTTTCTTTGTTGTTCTCCAGCCTCTCATTGTGTTGCTCAATAGCTGCCGTCTCCAGCTTGAGCCTCTGTAGCCGTGACTCCACATCTTCCTGTCCGTTAACAGTCTGAAACAAAACATAGACCTGTTTGCACTTATGTGTTTTATTTAAGGTTAATCTTCATCACAATATGTTGTCATCTCCTTACCTTGCTGAGATAGTTCACCACTTTGGTCTTGGTCTCTTCTACAGTCAGACTCTGGGAAATGACCTCTTCATGGTTTGTAATCTTAAGTACCAACATGACACATTAAGTTTATAACAAGGTATAAACAGGATGAAGGATGACATCTGAAACATTAGTAGCAGCTACTGAGTTCCTGCTGTACCTCTGCAAACTGAGAGAAGGCCTCCAGGGCGTGCTGATGCAGCAGCCAGGATCTGTCAGCCAGCAGGACTCCAAACAGGCTGCTCAGCCTCGGCAGAATTTGATTCTGTGTGACAATAAAAGTTGGTGTAAAGGAGAAAATATGAGATCATATTAATATTGCAGAATTTCAGAATTAAACACATTTATATTTCTTATCTACAGTTTCATTTAGGGATATTTTTGCATATATGAAATGATTCTTTTAGTCTATATGATGTCAAAAATATAGCAAATGCACATCTTCAGATGCAACAACCTAAAGAGATATTTTAAACTGCATACTTGACAATACAAAAGTATTATCAGTAACTACATTGGTAAACAGTAAATAATTGGTATCAGGGTTTGTACTAACAGGGGCAAGTCAAATTCAAAGACTCTTAAGTACTTTTTTAACCACTCCTTTTTATTTTAAAGGATATTAGTGCTTCCTGTACAACCATCTATTTGTCAGTTAAAAGGCTGAAAAACAAAAATCACTGACGCTGCTCCGGTGTGTGTGTTTTGAAGGTGAGCGAAACATCCTGGTGCCGATAATTTACTGGCATTTACTACCCTGTTAGTCCCCTGTAGAGTCGTTCAAATAAAACATTACATTTAAGGCGAACTGGGAGAACTTGTTGGGATGTGTGTTCTGGGCATTAACAATAAACCAATGTCTAATTTGTCAGGTTTCTTTGAGTGTGTTGAGCCATTTATTTTAACACATGCTAACCTTCACACAGGTAAAACATTGTATGTCCATACCTCATCTCAGGTAAGTTTCCACTTAACAGTTTCAGAGTCCATCACCATTCAGTGTCCGTCAAAGGTAAAAGTTTCCAGCCATCAATTTCAGTTTCAACACGCTACAAACTCTTCATGCTGCCACACTTTACGGTCAAAAAACTGTTCGCCCCCCCCCCCCCTAAATCACACACCTGCTGCTCATCACCTGCACCTTACCTATATTACCCAAGTTTTCCAGTTCTATTGCGCCACCTGGTGTATGAACAAAAAACTACATCTATTTACATGTAGTCACAACTAATTAAACATGAATCAAAACTAATACCAAGAATGTTACTGTGGCTCTAGTCTCTATATACAGACTCTACATTCCGTGAATGTAGAGTCTGTAGGCAAACCCCGGAGATCTTGCCTCCGGAAGAAGAGTGGAAGTGCCCTGGTTTCCAGTTGTAGGCTGTTTGTAGTCCGCTTGATATTGACCAATCACGTTTGAGCCGGCTGCAGTTATTGCCAGGTTAAATGGTCTGTGCGGTGAACTAACGAGGCGGAACATAATTGGCGTCACTGCAAACTCTGAATCCATCACAATGTTTCAGCATATTTACTTATATATAAACGGAAGTCAGAAACGGAAATTCACCTCCTCTGCCCAAATCACACCGGAATGGCAAAAAATCGGGGGTCTGTCTCCAGAGGCTGTATCGCCGTCTGCTGGAAGTCAGACGCCGAATACAGCCGATGGGTTCCAAGAATGCTGTGGCTCCAATGCATTTTTATTCTAAAGGATATTAGTGTTTCTTCCACAACCATCTATTTGACTGTTAAGAAGCAGAAAAATCACTGATGCTGCTCCAGTGTTTTGATGGCAAGCGAATCATCCAACAATAGTGGCAACAATTTACTGGTGTTTACTATCCTGTAGTGTATTTTTTTCAAGGGGTAGGTTAAAAAAAAAAAAAAAAAAAAAAAAAAAACTAAAATATTTGACTGCTACAATTCAATTTCAAGCACCTGCTGAAGCACCTTGTATGAACCCTGTGGTGTTGTTATTTGGCAAAAAAAAAACAAAAAAAAACAAACATATATCAAAATGCCCTTTTCTACCCATTTTTCCACCTTATGAAGTGCATTGACCTAAACGGCAATATCCTTATTTGCATTTGCATTTAGTGTGGTCTCGTTACCTGGTTGTCAGGTGGGACAAAGACCTTCCCGAGAGAGGAGAGGAACTCCAGAGCAGCCAGCAGCAGCTGATCTGCACACTTCTGAGACACCACAGTTTCCACGCACAACAAAGCCTGGGACAAACACAAACAAATGTCAGCAGAAGTTTTCTCCATTAAACAGATGTTTAGTGTGAACTGACAGCTTACCTGACAAATGACTTGAGGCTCAATGTTTTTCACTAAAATGGCTGATATTGACAAGAGCAGCTGCAGAGTACACTGGAGCACAGGGTGGGTCTGCACCTGGAGGATGACAGGTGATAGGTATAACAGCCATGCATTTAATCCACACCTCTGTGTGTGTGTGTGTGTGTGGGTATGTGTGTGTATTTCGGTCTCACCTGGTCTGCACTCATTCGTAACCAGAGCTGTGTGACTATCCTCATTGCAGACAACGTGCACTGCTCCTCAGGAGATGATTGCACTCGAACCACCGCTAGGAGGGATAACAGCACCGTGTTCTGGAGACAGCAGGGACTTTGTAAAATCCAACACTTGTGCTTATTTTCCATTCCAATTTTCCCCACCCTGCTTCCTTGCATTGTTTCCTTTGCCGCATTTATTCATTCTGGCAAGAATTTTACTGATAGCAGCTGGCCAACGTGACTGTAAAATACACTGCAACACCCTGACGCACAAGATTGTTTATAGCAATTAATGAAGCTGGAAGAAAGGACATGTCAGTGATGTATCAAGACTAAATACAACTCAAGGACATACTTGAAAGTGTCATTTTCTAAAAGCAACACGAGTAACAAATGATCAGATAACCAGCTGCACATGACGTTTTCTGATCTAAATCATCTCTAGACACTGCAAAGGCCGTGTTCTCATTACATCTGAGCTGTAAAGCTTTTGACAAAGTATCAGATGGATTGTATTCTTTCAGACGCTATCTAGGCTTGCAGATTGATAAATCATAAAAGGTAAAGAGAAATACACAATATGAAAAAAAATGCATAAAAACTATAAACTTATGTTTCAGTGCAAAAAACATCCATGTAACGTCAAAAGGATGAGAGAGTTTTGTCACCTGCAATACTACTACATGAGAAAGTTTTGACTGTCAGCACTGAGATTTCACAGGCCAATGAAGGAGCAAGGCCATTAATAATCTTATCTGTGCCATCTGTTTCAACCATGAGAACAGGCTTATCTTACTCTTGATATCACTTGTTGTGTTTATTTTTCATCGACCCACTCTCTTTTGAGTGCACAAGGGCAGAAATTATGTGTCGACCTTGCTCTGATGTTTGTATTGTCCCTTTTATCTCCATAAACAGTCACTACATTTTCCTTGTTGTCTTCAGGGTAAAATGGAGAGTAAATGCACATTAACACTGTTCGCGCTGATCTCACAATTCCAGTTATATAAGTAATTATGAGATCTTTTCCACTTCATCACTTGGAAATTTTGGGATTGCTTACCGTGTCTTAACTTAAACACAAAGCAGATGTTAACCCATCACTCATTCATACTGGGTGAAGGTAGAAATAATTACTCTACTAATGGTTTCTTTAATTCAATGTAGGAGGAAACTTTTCTTGCATGCCTCCAGTGAACGAAGATTGCAAAACCAATTCTTGATAAATTACATCAAAACAGATGATTTGATACAGTTTTGCTGTTAACTGCAGACCCCTATGACTTCAATTCATAAAGAATTTTCTCAGTTTTATGATTCTTTGTTTACAGAGAACAGTTTTCTTCACGAATTCAAGGTAACACAAGGTGAGTAGCTGATATACAAATGGTCATTTTGTGGGTGAAGTATTCCTTTAAGATTACACCCACGCTACTCCCCATAGCTAAGATTGTCCTCACCACTTTGCCCACTTGACCCAGTTTGTACCCTCCATTCTGCCAGTCGGTCAGAGCTCTTTGAGTAAGGCTGATGATGTCTGTCTCTACACCACGACGGGCATCATGTGACAGAGCTCTGAGGAGAACATGTCGCCACACTGCAAGGTTTTCCACATCAGAGGGGGGGAAACGCGCCACCAGCTCCATCTGGAAAAACAAAATGATATCAAGGTTATGATCTTGCAAAGGTCAATGTTTGTTTGTTTTTTTTTTTAAATATACAGAGACAATCAACAAGCGTCATCCAAAACCTGGGCTGAACTGGACTCTAGACCGGTGGTTTTAAAGAAAACTATGTTTAAGATTGTTTTAAATTATAAGTCTATAATAACCTGAAAATAAGAATTCCTTATGTTTTTGCTACCTTAGAATGAGCCGTCTACATCTACATTCAAAGTGGATCCTCTTCCATGGAGTCTACCATGTTGCTCTACAGTAGCCAAGAAGAGACAAACTAAAACACTGGCTCTATTTTCACTTTGGCCACCATAGTTCTCCTACACACTTGGCACACAGGAGAAGTCGCAGTTCTGCAACCTCATTGCTAGATGCCACTAAATCCTTCACACTAGGCTTTTAGAGGAGTAAACCTGAGTAAACGTGGAGAAACTTTACAATGCAGGTAATGCTGTGCAGGGCGTGAGGGGTCACTAAATGGTTTGATGAGCATAAAAGTGATGAATCGTATGATCTGGCCTTGCTGTCACTAGATGTCAATCCAGCTATCTACTTTGTTGATTCCTCATGTTACCTACATGTATATGAAATATAAAAAATCTCTGTATTTATATCAAATATAATGTCCTATTTTAAAATTGTGTGATGAATACTCTGCCTCTAAATGTTTAAGGCCACAACAAGACAAAGCAACTTTTTAAACCACTTTAATTTTGGAACTTGTGAAATGAAAGGTTAAAGACACGATGTACCCCACACTGATGCTTTCACAAGTCAATTATGAGTCTCTCTGTATTAAAGGACAGCCAACTTTTATGGCAAACAGAGTGATATTCAAAATATGCACTTTTTCTCACTTGCACTTTATGTATGTTATGTGTTATGAAGGTTCATTAGTACGGTTTTGTATTTCTCTGTAATGTAGCACAGTGTTAAAGGACAACTTTGGTATTTTTCAACCTGGGCTCTATTTCCCCATGTGTATGTGTGCGTATGATTCATGGGTACAACTCGTTCTAAAATTGGTTCAGCCGGGAGCCGCGAAACGAGCTAAAACAGTAACGGGGGCAAATACGTCCCGTATAAATTTGCACATTAAAAGTGCTTTTTTTTCGCCACTGACCGGTTCAGATCGCCAGTGTTATCTCTGTAAATAGCAGTGACCCCGGGGTAGTGGTGAGTGTGGTATGAGTGGAGTCAGCTGTCAGTCAGTGTTGGAGCAGAGAGGGGGAGGGCTGCCGCGCTGGGTACTGTAAGTGAGTATGTGTGTATGAAGTGTGTGTGTTACGCTAGAAGAGTCAGAGTTTGGGACGGAGTCTTTTACAGGGTTCCTACACATTTGGAATTTCAAAATTCCATACTTTTCCATACCCAAATTTCCAGACTTCTCAGGTTTTTTATTTTTTATTTTTTTCCCAGAGAATATGCAACATCTGAGTAAATATATCAGTGTATCATATTTCACATCATATTTAATTATTCTTAATAGCTGATTGTAGCCAAGTACCATAATGCAGTGATGCAAACACAGGTATGGTGAAAAAAGAGAGAGCCTCTGAACTTCTAGGGGGTCGGGGGGCATGCCCCCCCCGGAAGAAAAGTTGGACTATTTTAAAGTTAAAATACATCAATCTGGTGCACTTCGGGAGCAAATTTAGGAGGCTAGATATATGAAGAACTTCGTGTTTCTGTTAACAATTTTGGTCACAGTAAGTTAAATATCTAAAATATTCATTAACCAAGCTAAAAAGGCCAGAGAATGTCATGAGTAAAAGTCCCCAGTTTGCTTAACAAAGTGACAGTGTTAAAAAAACAAACAAAAGCAATATAGGCTATATGTTAATAGGTCAGTATTAATATTTTATTGTTCCAAGTTTTCTATTTCCAGTCTGGTTTAAAACAGTTTCTAACAAACAGAGAGATGCTTTATAACCACACTAAACACATATCCTAATGATGATGAAAAATACTCTGTACTTAAGTCATAATAATTCTTAAATGTGCCTTAGCCTACTTTTAATATTTGTAAATTATTATTATTACTATTATTTCTAGTCTCTACATCTGTTAAATCAGACAAGCTGATGTTCGCAAAATTATTGACAAGGATTTTTTATCTGTTTTATCTGTCATTTTATTCTGTTGTAGCTTATGATTACAGGCTGTTGTTACTTAGTTGAAAATAACTGTTTTGCTGTCACTGAAACAGAAGTTTTTTACAGACAGGCTACCATTTCATCTCATATGAGTATGAGTTCATGATGATGATGATGATGATGATGATGTCGCTCCTAATTAACAACTCCGCCTCTTTCACATGAACGCGCTCATTGCTGGAAAACACAGAGATGACAGAGCGAGTTGATAACCAGCTTTGTAGTACTGGTTATCCTGGATGAGCGCTGTTAGGCTCTGTGAAGCCAGCTCACCTAAAGAAAGCCTGGCTATGTTAAACGTGCATCGTAGTACAGGTCGACCGGGGGAGAGCGAGTATCAGAGCGGAGACAGTGGAGTGACGGACTGCGGGAGAGAGAAAGGCAGGCGAGCAGTGACACACATCCTGCGACTAGAGTTGCTTTACCTGCGACAGCTGTTTTATTTTTATTCTCCCCTTCCTCAATGCAGTTCCATCATGTAGCATGACAAAAATAGGATTTATTATGAATCGTTAAGGGCATCTGTCAGTTAAATTATTTTTGGAAATACCTAATTTTCTATTTTAGAAAACAGTATTTTAGAACAGTGGTAATAGTCTATTTTTTCATACTTTATTTTTCATTTTCCATACTTTTTAATACCTGGAAATTGATCAAATTTATTTCCATACTTTTCCATACTTTCCATACTTGCGTAGGAACCCTGCTTTTACATGCTACCCCCTGGAGTGTTACCGGAGTTTCTGGAGTGCTCAAATGAACGGGCCTTTTTCCCGAACGCAAGAACAGGATGTCGCGCAACACCCCATACAGCTTTCACAGGTTGCCTTTGTCGGATGGCGAGATGCTGAAGTTGTGGCTAGTTGTGCTACAAATGGATGCTAACACTCCTCTCCAGACACTGCGCCTTGCAGACCATCGGGTCTGCAGTGCTCACTTCTCCCAAGACGACTACTGCCAGCCGAAGAAGAGAAGACATCCAATCCCGAAACACCTCTTCCTCAAGAAAACAGCTGTCCCACGAGTAGAGAGAGCTACAGACACAGTGGAGCAAAGCTCGTGACATCACACAGCCCAAAGGTAAGGGAAAGGCTAGTATGCTATTTACAGAGACAACAATGGCGATCTGAACTGGTCAGTGGCGAAAAAAAGCACTTTTAATGCGCAAACTTGTACGGGACGCATTTGCCCCCGTTACTGTTTTAGCTCGTTTCGCAGCTCCCGGCTGCATCCGCCTCCCTCGATACTGAACCAATTTTAGAACGAGTTGTACCTATGAATCATACACACACATACACATGGGGAAATAGGGCCCAGGTTGAAAAATACCAAAGTTTTCCTTTAACAATGTTACTGATACTATTCTTTCTCAGGCCTTGAACTCAAACCACTGTGTTGCCCCGCCCAAAATATAATTTAATAATTAAATTAATATTGTAAACATGCAGTCAACTAATGGCCCTAAATGACAACTATTGGTCAACTGAGAAAGACAGCCCTAACTTAATAACTATTAGATGTTAGTCAAAAACTTGGAATACAAAGTTTAGATATTTTCCATTGTTTAAGTCACTCTTCCAATGTTCTCCATCTTTTATCTTATTTGCCCTTTCCATGTTCACATACATTTACTGTACTGTCAATATGGTGGTATTAACAGTGTGTACTCTGTTTTGGGGTGAATTTCAATTGCAAAACTGATAATGATTATTAACAATAATTAATAAACAAATAGATGTGACTTGACACTCTAAATTAATTTGTGAGTTCATAAAAATCTAATTTCAGTTCCCAGCATTACTGACCTGGTGGTTCGGCGTCATGAGGAAAACCATGCGTCTGAGCAGCAGGCCCAGGTGGACCAACTGGTAACACTCAGTGGTGCAGGCTTTCACCTGGGGGTGAAACGAGAGAAGCAGAGAGGAGGTGAGGAACGGCGTGAGTGTCAGTGTGAAGGCTCAGGAGGAGTCAAAATCACCAGGGCATCAGGGCAGAGGAAAGGTCAAGAACTGAAGGAGGGGGATGTGTATGGAAACGAGCAGGATCCAGCTTAATCTGATGACATAATGACGTAAGGTTATGAAAAAGTGTCCCAGAGGTCCAACAACACCAATTGTCACCTCTGCTGGGGTGCCACAGAAAACAGGAAAGACTCCATGCTAATCCATAACCCTACAGAGAGATTAAGGGGATTTAGAGTTATTTTAGAAAGTGTTGAGGAAGAGGTCACAGACATGGAGAAACATCTGTGACCCTGTGATGTCAAGATGGTGAGAGCCAAGATTCTAGGGAGTCTGTAGACTGTGTCTGAAAAATATAACAAGTCCACAAAATAACGGTCTCCAGAGCATCTTTATAATTCTTGTCTGAAAAGCGCGATACTGGATTTTTTTTGTTGCTATCCGATATGCCGACACGTAACAGCTCATTTGACCGATACCGATATCGATATCTCCACTTTTTCCCCACCAAATTTTAGTGATTATGAAGTCTCTTCTGTAGTGGAATTAACATCTTAATATGCATGCACACTCTTATCGTGATGGCCAACCAGCAGATGGAGACATGAAATACAATGATTTTCAATGTATGTAATATTTATTAATGTGCAACTTAAGAAAAAGCATGTTGGCCGATTCTGACAGTTCATTTTAAAGCCAATATTGGCCGATACTGATGACGTGCATCCCAACTGTATTGTGTGTTTTCCTGGTCTCTACCTACCAGTTGAGCAACGAGGAGGACATGATGTAGACAAAGTTCTGCTGTCCCATACCTGTCAGCAGAGAAGATGAAATCAGCACCAGATTTAATACAGTGCAGAAAAAAAAACATGTTAAAAATGCTTACAAGACTTGGGTGAAACAGTTGCTGTAATAAGTCTAAAGGTGAAATGAAGGGTTTGTTATATACTGTAGCATGACACAGTGTGCCCAAGAGTATGCCCCGATCAAAATACAGCTACCCAGTGGACACTTTTTCATTTATTGCTACTGATACACGTGAACACTCTCACCGTGCTGTAAAGCACCACACATCTGTTGCCAGCAGAGCGGACTGAGTATCAGCCTGCAGCACAGCGTTGACCAAACAACGCTCCTGGGAAAGAGATAAAGGAGAGGGGAATTCACAAAGACAGCAGGAGGGTGTGAATGAAAGAAAACGCAGGACACAGAAAAAAATAAGGTATCACGAACTTCAACACCAATAGTAAAAACCAAAGTGAAAGAATAACTTGCGTTGAATGACAGGAAATCCTTTTACTAACACACAGCACAGCTAGAAAACAATGTGAATAGATATGCAAATTAAACAAATGACTCAAAAGTTTAAATAATACTTAATTTTTGATAAAGACGTTTACTTCAACATTTGAGAGCTAAAAATAACAAAATCAAATAATGGACAGAATTTATTTTTAATATGACCACATAACAAATGTGCTAGACACACATCTCTAAAACTAGTTTAGAATTTGGTGGATTATTTCATGGTTCCACTTTTTTTTTATTAACATTCACCCTAATAGTAAATAAAAACAAACATACCATAACATACTTAAGGTCAAGCCCATCAAATAATGATAAAATGCAGCCTATGAATGCTAATTACGGTTGGGTAATATGACAGAATATACTGTGCAATGGTACCAGTACAGATTTGGCAATACTGTTCCTAATGCAGAGACTATTTGGAGCAGGTTATATAGTTAATCAAGGCTGGACTCTTGCAAGATTTTGTGATTCTTGCAAATCCAGCTGCCTTGCAAGTTGATTTGGGCAGACATGGAGGAAGAGAATGAAGTTGTAAATACAGAAACCTGTAACACTCGAAACTATTATTCTTAGGAATCCCAAAGCTTCCATTTTTAAAAGAATTTTTCTGTTTTCAGCCCTTTGCAAATTTCCCCACGGTGGGCCGATTAAAGGATTATCAATATTGGCCAACAATACCTTCCAACCTATCAGTAGGGCTGTACTTAAAACACCTTTTATATTAGTAAAGTAACCCAAAGTGATAAAGTCAAACTCATGGCAAGCATCCATTTACAGATGGGTTTAAGGTCAGGTCAGGTCTACGTGAGACTCAGGACAAAATGAATGAAGACAAATCCTGGCAACCTATCATATCCCTGCTGTGACAAAGTCCACCCCAACTGTTGCCAAGCACCACACCCGCAAGAAATCCTGTTCATATCACATCAAACGTTCTTGATTATCTGCAAGAAAGCCTGCCAATCCTCTGGCCAATTAAATTTCTGCAGGTTCTGCCAACAGCACATATACTGGAAAAAAATTAGAGTAGCTGGGTCGTATCTACTACTACCACCACTACTATTACTACAACTACTACCACTACCACTACTACTATGAAAAATGCACAGAGTTTTCTCCTGAGGTTTGATAATAAGACACAATGGCCGTGAAAAAACTGTTTTGACTTTGAATTTCCTTTTTTCTTTGGCTGGGATCTTTGAGGAAATTTATTCCCTGCACAACAGAGGTCCAACAGCAAGCAGTGTGCGTGTTGCTTTCTACTTATAAAAACAAACTGTCAGGACAGAAGATGCCGTGACATAAAAAACAACTTTTGGTTTCAGTTTAAGGATAGTTTATTTTCTCAATCACTCCCTTATACTGATTCTGTTATTTCAAACTAAATCCCCATTCCTTATCTCTACTTTAAAATGCTTATTTTTTGGAAGGGCAGACATGTTGCCTGAATCAAAACATACATAATGAAACAAACTTATAAGCATGTCTGTCTATACATGTTTGTCAATAAACGTTATTAACACAACAGTGTCAAATGACTTCCACAAATGCTGCTTATGATACAATGTATGTAGTCATGTGTGTAGACCTCACCAGCACAGGGAAGTACACTGCGGGAAGCGCAGCCACACTGGCACAGAGCTGCACGCAGATGTGGTTGTGTAGAGTGACCTGGACCTGTGCCTGACCCTTCATCATCACCCCTGGCAACAGCACTGGCATCCGACGCTCGGTACAGCATCGCCTGAAACTAGTGAACAAGGCCTGGTAGAGAGGAAGTCTGGAAACAGAAGGGATGGGGAAAAAACATGAGCATTTTAGACATACATTTGTCAACAAATTAGCTTAAATACACAACTGAATGGTATAATCTCTTCCAGGAGTGCTGAGTGAAACTTCAAAGTCTACTTCATGCATGTCAATATTTAACTCTTCAAGTCCTTAAAGTCTAACGTGCTTTTTATTTATTTATTACCTGGGTGTGTCCTCTGAAAACTGGCTGCCTGTGTACCAAAGCTGCAGCACCTCCTCTGGTTGGGAGGTCAGCTGACCCAGAACGCTCATCAGCAGAAGACACTGAGGAAGCTCGTGTTCAGGACTTAACCCTGCACACAAACAAGACAAGGGTCATTCCAGGATTTTATGTTGTATTTTTTTGTGGAACAAATGTCAGTCAGCAACTAGAAACATGATGCCAACAGTCTTTTGAGTAAACGCATTAGGTCAACATTTCCCAAAGATGCAAAAAGTCCTAAATATACTAGTTGTCCGAGGAAGTACAGGATTAGCGAGTCAGCAACCATGTGTCCTGAGGGTTCCTTTACATTGCATATGCTAATACATGAGACTCCTGTGTCCAACTGCATACTATACATTATATAAGTGATGGACTGGTATCGGCGCATATGCTGATTTCATTCACTGTGTCGGACAGGAGAAGTGGGATTGAAGCCATACTTCAATATACAGTACCAGCGTTGATGAGTTTTAAGTGACTAGTATGCTAACACGACGTGACAACATGAATTATAGATTACACTGTCAGCATTAAAAGTGTATCAAACATGTCTCTACTAAAAAGGAAAACAGAAAAGCATTTATCAACCTTGCAACAGTCAGTACGTTTACATGCACGCAGTAGTCGACCTAAGCTCATAGCTCTGCTAATCAGTCAAGTCGGACTTCTCATCTTGTCTGAGTATACATGCAGAAGAGAAAATCGAATTTCTGACCAAGTACGTCTGACTGAGCCTCGAAAGGCGGCGCTGTGTCCTTTTTAATATAGTGCGTATTTATTTAGTTACTGTTGACGCGAAGAGGAAGCTAACGACGAATGAAGATGGTTGAGCATGAATGTAGTTTCCTCGTCCGTCCAGAAGTGATTCTTCTGCTTCTTGGTCGCCATGGTGTTTGTTTGTCTGTTTTTCTGGGGGTTACTGCACTGCTGTATACTGAACTGCTGCTACGTCATCTCCTTCTTTTTCCGGGTAAAAGCCTGCGAAAGAAAAAGTGGTGCATGCGCAGAACGCAGAGTCCAACTCCACTAAGTGGATACATCCAGCAATAGTTAATTTTCAATCAAATTATCTAGGTGTGTTTGTTGAGCTACGGATAGTCCAATTTTAGTCGGACTAATCTGTTTACATGCATTTAAAAGTCCAGTTTCAGTCAGACCAAACCAATAATTCGATTTTCTCAAGCTGCATGTAAACGTACTGAGTATCTAGGAGAAAGAGGAAAGTGAGGACAAGCTTTAACTCACGCAGGTCCTGCTGGAGAACAACTTCAGCAAAGGCTCTTTAAGGCAACAGCTGTAGCAGAAGGGCATCCATGGGAACCAGAGCTGCTGCATTCAGCTCCCCGGACAGAGCCGAGGGCAGTGTCGGAGCACACAAACTGGGAGGGAACTTACTGAAAGACATCAAAATGTACATTTACGCACGACTCAATGAATGACAACTCAAAGGATAAATTGTAGTCTGCCCATACCTGACGACTTGGAGGTAGAGTTTGTGAAAGCAGCTACAATACTTTGTCAGAAAACATTTGAATTCCTGTTCAAAGGATAAAGAATATGAGTTTAGCTGCTTTGTATTCTATGGTAGAGAAAAATTCAACAGACATAGAGATGGCACAATTTTTTATAGAGTAAAGACAGGGTCAAAGAGATCCACATTTCTCAGTACCTTTATGTAATGAACCAAAGTGTTGGCAAAAAATCTGCACATCTTTGCAGTTTTCTGGAACAGCTTGTATTCTGGGCTTTGTGTTGCCTCCTTTAAAAAAGGGACAACATAGCATTAACAAAAAAGGGGCCAAAGATCAGGTCTACTCTGATAAACCTTGTGTCACTTTCTTTCCTGAGAACACAGGGCTATAGTGCAAGACAAAATCCAAACACATACAGTACAGGCCAAAAGTTTGGACACACCTTCTGATTCAGAGTTATGTACTTAACAAAAAAAAGGTGAAATAACTGAAAACATGTTTTATATTCTAGTTTCTTCAAAATAGCCACCCTTTGCTCTGATTACTGCTTTGCACACTCTTGGCATTCTCTCTATGAGCTTCAAGAGGTAGTCACCTGAAATGGTTTTCCAACAGTCTTGAAGGAGTTCCCAGAGGTGTTTAGCACTTGTTGGCCCCTTTGCCTTCACTCTGCGGTCCAGCTGACCCCAAACCATCTCGATTGGGTTCAGGTCCGGTGACTGTGGAGGCCAGGTCATCTGCCGCAGCACTCCATCACTCTCCTTCTTGGTCAAATAGCCCTTACACAGCCTGGAGGTGTGTTTGGGGTCATTGTCCTGTTGAAAAATAAATGATCGTCCAACTAAACGCAAACCGGATGGGATGGCATGTCGCTGCAGGATGCTGTGGTAGCCATGCTGGTTCAGTGTGCCTTCAATTTTGAATAAATCCCCAACAGTGTCACCAGCAAAACACCCCCACACCATCACACCTCCTCCTCCATGCTTCACAGTGGGAACCAGGCATGTGGAATCCATCCGTTCACCTTTTCTGCGTCTCACAAAGACACGGCGGTTGGAACCAAAGATCTCAAATTTGGACTCATCAGACCAAAGCACAGATTTCCACTGGTCTAATGTCCATTCCTTCTGTTTCTTGGCCCAAACAAATCTCTTCTGCTTGTTGCCTCTCCTTAGCAGTGGTTTCCTAGCAGCTATTTGACCATGAAGGCCTGATTGGCGCAGTCTCCTCTTAACAGTTGTTCTAGAGATGGGTCTGCTGCTAGAACTCTGTGTGGCATTCATCTGGTCTCTGATCTGAGCTGCTGTTAACTTGCGATTTCTGAGGCTGGTGACTCGGATGAACTTATCCTCAGAAGCAGAGGTGACTCTTGGTCTTCCTTTCCTGGGTCGGTCCTCATGTGTGCCAGTTTCGTTGTAGAGCTTGATGGTTTTTGCGACTCCACTTGGGGACACATTTAAAGTTTTTGCAATTTTCCGGACTGACTGACCTTCATTTCTTAAAGTAATGATGGCCACTCGTTTTTCTTTAGTTAGCTGATTGGTTCTTGCCATAATATGAATTTTAACAGTTGTCCAATAGGGCTGTCGGCTGTGTATTAACCTGACTTCTGCACAACACAACTGATGGTCCCAACCCCATTGATAAAGCAAGAAATTCCACTAATTAAGCCTGATAAGGCACACCTGTGAAGTGGAAACCATTTCAGGTGACTACCTCTTGAAGCTCATGGAGAGAATGCCAAGAGTGTGCAAAGCAGTAATCAGAGCAAAGGGTGGCTATTTTGAAGAAACTAGAATATAAAACATGTTTTCAGTTATTTCACCTTTTTTTGTTAAGTACATAACTCCACGTGTTCATTCATAGTTTTGATGCCTTCAGTGAGAATCTACAATGTAAATAGTCATGAAAATAAAGAAAACACATTGAATGAGAAGGTGTGTCCAAACTTTTGGCCCAAATGTGCTGACTCTCATTGATAACAGGACTGTGCTATAATCGGGCTACCCATTTACATTTTTTACACTGAGCTTACACTGATTCTCTAGTAAACAAAAAATACAGCTAAGGAGCAATGAGTTCATACTTTTTAATCTAAATTGTTTATAAACTTTAAAGGAAGTCAAGAGGAACAATAAATACTCATTCAATAGTCAATTCAATATAAAAAGCTGCTAAAAAGGTATAAATAATATTTGTTCTTTATTTAACTACCAATCAGTTTTCTTACCTGCAGACCAGCATTTTTAATCTGTTCAGCCAGCTCCACACAGTTGTGGAAGGAGGTCAACAAGTTGTCACACAGGCTGTTGCTGATGTCACTGTGATGTAGATGTTCCTCCACCAGTGCATGGTACTTTAAACTCTGTCTGAACATAAGTAGCCAAATTAAATATTAAATTTATCCAACTCCTTTAACATAATGATTCATCTAATATGACAAAAAAATGTGAAATTAATTAAAAACATAAATGTCAACATGAGTGTCTGCTTTACTGACTTGATGAGGAATTTCCATGTGTTAGCATGCAGTGCTATGTCCAGGTTGGAGATAATAGAGCAGATATCCAGCAGGTTGTGAATCACTGAGGAAGATGAAAAATTACTTGCATTGAAGGTATACAAATACAATAATAATAATAATAATGATAATACTAATAATAAACTTTATCTATATAGCACCTTTCATATAAGAAATGCAGCACAAAGTACTTTACAATAAGGGCAGGATACGCACTGAGTGCTCCACATGAAAATAGACACAGTGAACATAAAAGAGAACTGATTCATAAAATCATAGAATTGTAAAACTATAAATCATAAAGTAAGATTTTAAAGCGTTGCAGCAGCATGAAGTGTAAAAAGAAAGTAAAAGCCTAAAAAGAAAGCATTTTAGGCCTGTAGCAGGAAGTCAGAGCTGGTTAAAGTCTAAAGTGAACAGATATGTTTTTAACTTTCTTTTAAATCCCAGATCTTCTTTGGCTGTTGCTGGGAACCTCCAATAAACCAGCAGCAAAAGATCGCAGTGTTCTTGGAGGAAAGTAATTAACAAGGGAGTTAGCACTGCTTGGTCCCAGCCCATGTAGGGCTTTGTATACAAGGAGGAGGACCATAAAATCAATTCTAAATGTAAGAGGAAGTCAGTGCAGAGCAGCTAGGACTGGCCTGATGTGCTCTCTCCTCTTGTTTCTGGTTAATAGCCGAGCTGCAGAGTTTTGAATGAGCTGAAGTCTCTCAGTGGTGAATGACAGAAGGGCTTAATTACAAAGGGCGTGGCAGTGGCAAACAGACAGAAACACACAGAAATATACACACCTGTTACGATGTCAGAGACCTCTTCCTCTGAGGCACTGCTGTCCAGGGAGATCCCGTCCAGCAGCTCCAACAGACCCTTCTGAAGGGAGTAGGCCTCCTTGAAGAGTCCCTGCAGCAGATCAGCCACCAGGGACAATCGGCCACAGTAAACTACTTCACTCTCCTGAAGACAAAATGCAGAATACAATTAAACTTACTATTTTCATCTCTCCTTGGGTAATGGATTTTATGTTCCCTTGCATCCAGGGCAGGAATTTATTTGGCCTTGTGCCCTTGAAAAAAATATCTGCCCTAAAGCCACAGTGGCCTTGATGCCCCGCCCGCACTGCCCCAGGTGATTTTGCAGTTTTCTCCTCTGCCTCTTTCCTGTCAACATGGCTTTGACACCTGCGTCTTTTGAGGAGCTAATGCGTCTTTTGAGGACATTCTGGATTCTTATTGGGCAACATCAAATGAGACGATGCGTACATCACCAGTGGTGGGTTTGACTCAAGCCTGGCATGAACCGCTCAGACGGGCTATAACAACAGTTTGACACCAATCTCTCACCGGCCAACCAAGAGACTTCATCAAACGCCCGGGCAGGGATCGGTACCGAGACCCAGTAATAAACTACCCAAGGCAAATTTAATCAAGACCGTAATAACAGTAAGCTCCGCCATTATCGGCGTTACTTTTTAAAGTTTCGGTTTCATCATCATTCTGCAGCCTCTCTCCTGCTCACTGCATGTCAGGGCTGACCTCCTCCTCACAGCGCGCACGCTCACACTCACACACACACACACACACAAAAGACTGGAGTCAGACATCAGCAGAGAGGCCGCGGTGCAGATGAGGGGAATATAACTTCAAGATCACTCTAGTTAACAACAGCTACACTTGTTACTGTAAATAAGTGCAATAAAACCTCTGCCAGCCAAGCCAATACTTTATCAATACATGTGATCAGCATGTAGAAAGCCATATTTCAACCCTCTCTGTCGTTGAAATAGGATTCTCTCATTCACCGCTATTATGATTTACGATCATGGTCGACACAAGCATATCGCGCTTGCAGTGCTAACAGCAAAGTGTTAAAGACACTGCTTGCATCCCTATGTATTCATGTTTCATACAGCGAAAATATGCTTATCACTGCAGGTTCCGGCTAATGACATCCTCTTGAACTGTTGACACCTCAGATAATACTAAAAGGCTATAATAACAAGAAACAGGAAAACAGGGGAAAAAAGCTGCTGATTTGCTCCAGGTACCTTTGTACTGCAAATGCTATTTTTAAAATCCAGTGTCACCTGAACTTTGGAAATACTGACTTATTTTTTAATCCAATTTTTACCCATTTTTAAACAGTAAAAATAAACACTGATAAATTCCTATTTTTTGTTTCACAAAGAAACTGAAAATAATGAGCTGTAGGTATAAATAAATCCCCCACTACTTAGTGTTAGATGTGAGTTTGCTGTGTATTGTTAGTAAAACAATTCATGCACTTATTCACAAAATTTAAACCACTCATTTTAGGCATTTTCTGTGCATAATGATAGCATAGTTATCTTATGAATCTTTACAATTCCATCTTAGTAACAATAACATGATTATTTTATAAATAACAATGTGAAAAATACTTTCACTTTAGATTTCACAGTCATTGCTGAAGTAAACAGACTAACCCTGCAGTGCTGAAAGGTTTCCCTCAGGACTTTCAGGATACAAGTTGGTAATGAACGGATGGCATCTAAGTCAGGGGCTTCCTCAAATCTGCCAATGTGACGCACACAAGTGGACAATGCATCAATTATCTGCATCATTGCCTGAAACAGAAAGAAAAATCTTGTGAAAATGTAGGTCAGGAATGAAACGAGAACAATGTTTTGTAGAAAATACATATCAGGTTGTGAGGTACTAACTGAACCATTTTCAAATACACAGCTTTGTGATGTAACAACTACGTCAGTAAAGACAACAGTACCTGCAGAATGTTCCTTAGTAAGGCACACAGTTCGGTGTTTTGACTGGACAGCCCTCCAACCTGGTCCAAGATTTCTTTCATCATGCTGTCAAACATTGTCACCGCCTGCAGACATTTGTGACACACAAGGACAGAAATTTTCACACAGACAAATCAATACACGTTTAGGGGAAGACATGAATAAACCAGTAATTCACAAAAATTCTATCAACAAATAATACAATCATAAGAGATCCTTCACAAGGCAAAGACTAGGTGTGACTAATTTTGCAGAAATCCCACTGTCTAATCTAAAACAGATTCAGGGTCTAGAAGAAGAAGATGATACACTTCATTAATCCTTGAGGGGAATTAAAACATTTTTCTCTCTGTTGTCATACACACACAGGCCCATGCACAAACAGGACCAATACACGCATTAAATGGAGAGATGTCAGAGCAAGGGGCTGCCTTGGACAGGCGCCCCAAGCAGTTGAGGGTTCAGCGCCTTGCCTAAGGGTACAGTGGCAGTGCCCAGGAGGCAAACTGGCACCTCTCCAGCTACCAGTCTACGCTGGGACATGGGATCCTCTGGTTCCCAAGCCAAGTCCCTATGGACTGAGCTACACTTTCAGAAAAAGTGAAATCTAAAATTGACCTTGCAATGTCATATGAGCTGTTTAGGTCCTAAAGACAGCATGCCTACATTATTATTATTTATTTTTTTTTACCTTTGGTAAGATCTTAGAGAAGCACTCATCTTCCAGTTCAGACAAACCAATATGAGGGAGGAACATGTCTGTAATGATCTTCAGTATACCTGGAAATCATAGGGGATGTTATGTTTTAAAGACAGTTCATACAAAGTGAGCAGTCTGTAATTACAAATGGAGTAATGAAGAAACTTACGTATATGATCATCCCAGCTCTCAGAGTTATTATGCAAAGAGTGCAAACAGTCAAGGAAAAGCACAAAATCCCATTAAATTCATTTCCAATGCATAATTATGCCAAATATCAAGATTGCAAACGAAAATGATGATATAAAAGCGTCAGCAAAACACAAACTTGTGCCCAGCATCACTCAGAAAATAAACATTTACCAAATATTATCATCTTGAAAGGGCTTTATGATTTTGGTGTTCAGTATAAATCATAAGAACAGACATACTGTCTACACCACATTAAAAAGTTAATAAATAACATGCATTTTAAACTATAGACCTAATCCCAAATATTGTATTTTCCCCCACGCTTTGTGGTTTCTAAAACTTTATATGTCCTGTATAACACTGGACCTTCCTTACAGAAATTATTTGCGTGATGCTATGAATCATGTCACAAGAATAAAGTTTGAGAGGATATGGTGAGTTTGGGCAGGACAGACTTGAGCTTCTGGCGACAGGTTTCCTGACTCCACTGCACCACCTCGTCCAGGAGAGAAGTGTTGGTCTGGGACATGATGACAACAGTCACCGGGGGAGCTCAGGACCACTGTCCGAATAACACAAGGTTACACAACAATGTCACCGAGTGAGTCACAAGTGACTCAATTTAGTACGATAGCTTTATCTGTATTTTCGTACATAAGCCGATGTTATTATGGAATTCGCTTCCTGTTTAGACTGGAGAGAACACAGACTAACGTTAGCTTGTGTGTTTGCTAGGGTATGTTATGCTAACGGTAACATTTAACGTTAGCATGATAGCTGACGTTAACTTGTAAACACGTAAAACTTCTTACCATAAATCATAAACTGTATCTTCTGACCAGAAACATTAAGTCACAACGACGTGTTTGTTTCTCTCGACGTCGCCATTACATTTTGTTAACAGCTAAATTGTGTAACCCACACAGTGAGGAAAACGAAGACAGACCGCGCGCCGTTGTTTGAATCGGATGTGACGTAGTGGGCAAACGGCTCATCTACCCTCACTCTGATTGGTTGAAATGTTACACTGCAAAGTTTTCAACCAATAGGAGAATTCAATAACTGCAAAGCGCTGAAAAAAGCAACCATCACTGTAAAGTGACGGGGGAGCAAATTAAAGGTGAAATACAAATAAATACATATTTTCTGTATATAGACATCTGTTAATAAAATAAATTCAAAGTCATTCATATGTTTCAGACATTTTTCATTTATTGTGGAAAAGATTATTTTATTGTCACATGTGCCCCATTTAATAAACGTATTGTATGATTCAAATTTAACAGAGTTTGAAAATATTTGTGCTTAATTAATAATCATATGAAGAGGGGCATCAACAATGAGACCTTCATGAGGATTAACTATACAAAGCAAGAAAGATAGGTATATAATACTAATATTGCAGTTATTTATTGTAATCCAAATAATGATTTCCGTTGAATCCTGATCTTGGCGGGCTGGAGTCTATCTGACACTGGGCAGGAGGCGGGGTATACCCTGGACAGGTCACCAGACTATCACAGGGCTGACACATAGAGACAGACCATCAGTCATGTCACAATCACACCTACGGCCAATTTAGAGTCACCAATTGACCTGCACATCTTTAGACTGTGGGAGGAATTACCCTGAGTAAACTTAGGCTGACACGGGGACAACATGCAAACTCCACACAGAAGAGCCCCATCCTGGGTTCAAACCAGTGACCCTCTGGCTGTGAGGTGACACTGCTAACCACTGCACCACCATGCCGCCCATAATGATGACAGATGATTTGGTTTTTACATATCAAGCTTACATAGTCAACTGTGGCAGCTGAGTTGTCTTTAGGATACATGAAGTCCTGTATCTTTACAGGTTTTGGTTCTGTCTCTTCAACAAGCAGTTTATATCCTCCCAAAGTGTACAAAATTCATCTTTGACAAAATGAATAACTTAAGTTGACGCCTACAAGGGCCGTGCAGGTGGGTGGGTAAAAATGCTTTTCTTTAGATTGTATATAAAAAGGTTCAGGGACTGATGATACCCTAAGGGATCTGGAATTTCTGCTGGCTCGGATCTAACTACTCCATTAAATCAGTGTCTGGTGAGCTATTGTTTCACTGATAAGATCCTGAGCATTGAAGCAAACCAGCACGCTTTGGGCTGCACCTTTGTTTCCCTACAGCCTTAGGTGTTAGCAGCCGCCGCTGCAGGAAGAGGCTGACTTCTTGTTTAGGAAATGGGACTCCACATTGATGCTTATCTCTGTTCACATACAGTTTATTGGGAAACTGCCTGCTGTGTACTTACACTTGGAAAGACATACCAGAATATACATTTTCCCCACTGAATTAGGTTAAACAAGGCAGCTTGATCAACCAGATTCTGAAGTTTATGTTGAGACTTATAAGTTACTATAGTGTCAACATTTAAAAAAAAATCTATATAAGTTAAATTTCCTTAAAATACAAGATGATGGAAAGCATTTTTTGGATTTTTTATTGCTCCCCTACAAAACAATTTTCACTTACCATGTCCACTTCAACACTGACACAGTCTATGGGGTGCCCTTTGTAAAGTGGCTCACGCTGAAAATAACATCAACATTTTGCCACATTTAGCTTCAAACAATGTTTAAAAAAGTGTTGGGAATTTTTTAACATCACCTTTTACCACATTTACCGCAATATTTGTTAACTTAGAAATATATTAAATAGTTAAATCTAAATATTAAATGTGGCACCTAAATGTTAAATGTTAAATCTAAATATTAAATTCAAATCTAAATCTAAATGTTAAATCTAAATCTAAATGTTAAATGTTAAATCTAAATGTTCTGGGTGAAACTAAATATTTAGCTAATATGCAAATTCACACTGCCGGTCACTGGAAGTACCAAAATAAAAGCTCGAGATGGTCAGACTGTGTTTATAGAATCAAATAATGAATTAAAACCAATTTATCGGGGGGAATGAACACTTGAACATACATTAGCGTGATAATAACTACCTAAAATAACAAAAAACATAGTCAAGAGTTCAAAAACTTCCAGCGCACACTAGAATATCAGGATTGACACAAAGTTTATTCAAAAATGTTTAACAACAAAAGGAGCGAACAACGCGTTTCGCTTGTTGCGTCATCAGATTCGCGAATGTTCGCTCCTTTGTTTTGTTTTGTTCGCTACATTTAGATTTAATATTTAGATTTAGATTTAGCATTTAGATTTAACATTTAGATTTAGATTTAGCATTTAGATTTAACATTTAGATTTAGATTTAATATTTAGATTTAACTATTTAATATATTTCTAAGTTAACAAATATTGCTGTAAATGTGGTAAAAGATGACATTAAAAAATTCACAACACTTTTTTAAACATTGTTTGAAGCTTAATGTGGCAAAATGTTGATGTTATTTTCAGCATGAGCCACTTTACAAACAGCACCCCATACACAGTCTGCAGGTGTATATTTTCTCCAATTGTACATGTAATTCAATCATAAGAAGCTATGGATGTATTTGTTGTAAGACAGAGTTGAAAGAAACTCAAGGGTAAAGTTAATCTATCACCTCAAAAGCTCCTCAATAAATTGGACAGATTTACATTTTACAATGTGTACAGAGTACATATATGTAAATACTTCAAAAGCAATTTCCAGAGCAATATATATATATATATAAAATTAAGAGCATGTTATTCTGTGGATTATATTCTGTAAAATGGTAAAGGCTATGACAAAGGCCTCAGGATAAATGACTTTGACCCTTTAACCATTACATGACTAAACAGACTGATTACAGTTTCGTCATAAGTCTAATGATTCATGTGAAATCTCATTAAGGTCTTACTGTAACTTGCATTTTCCAAGAAGAGGGTTGTGTCTAACAGAATTTAAGACTTCTCCCTCCTGTGCTGACCTCCCTGTGTGTAGATAATGGAAAGGTTATCAGTTTATAGGAAACTGGCTCCAGATTCAGGATGGAAACAGGACGAAGGTGCCTTTTTGTTTTTCTATTTTTGAGGTCACAGGAGCAGAAGGTATTGAGAATCGGTGTCTAAGTTAAGTCTCCTGATGAGGGTCAATGTGAGTGGAGCTCTCCTTTGGGGAGTCAAAAGCAGCTAATTGTGTTCATATAGTCAGCAGAGGTACATGCCACTCTTCCTCTGAATGTTTCCGTTACAACCCACCAGATTCACGGTGAGTCACAGGCAAAAAAAGAAAGCAATGGTAAGAATGCGCTTCACTGCTGGAATACAGTATGTACCTTTACAGACCCACTTATCTCCTGCGGGAAAACCCCAGAAGAAAAGGATGTAGACTCTTGTTCATATGGAACTGAAATCCATGGGAATAGAGATATGTCGTGGTTAATAGTACCTATCACATAGACTTATAACATCAAATAAAAGACAAAAGTATCAAAACAGCAAATCAGTCTCCCCCTTTTAAAGCCATCTGAACAGCAGGCATCAACAACACAATTAAGAACTTTGCCTTTTTGATTTCTATCTTAGGATGGATCACAAAGAGTGATCAAAGTGTCAAACATTTCAGGAATACCCATGAACAGATGCTTAATCAGTCCACCACAGACTAATATACTTACTATACAATTTTGTACATCATCATGGTCCCCAGAGGATGAATCCTTTGGAGATCCCCTGACTTTTCTCTGATACTAACAAGGAGTCACTTATCATGTGAAATATCTCAACACTAGCCTACTTTCCACATGAATAATGACTTTTAGGAACTGCACGACTTCGCCTTGGCATCACCGTGGGGTTTACTTTTATGCTTTTCACTGAAAAGTCTAAAGACCAGTTAGATGGATTGCCATGAATTTTGGTTCAGAAATTCATCCCCCCCAGTCCTGAGGAGGAACGATTCTTTTCATGATATAAATGTATCTAACCTTTTGGGTTTTGTTCTGCAAAATATGTTGTCAGTTTCTCCATGACTCCATTACAGCACATGCACATTTGACAGCTAGTGAAGCCCGCCCCACAAAACGTCCAACAACTTAAAGCCTATAAACCAAAATCAACTTTTTCACTGGCATCGTCTCGTTTACAGAGCTATTCATGGCCTACTTACAGCATACTTATGTGTGTACATCAAGCCAAAAAAATGAAAATGGCTACGTTCTCAGAACATGTTTTTCCTCTCTGTACCGAGGGTATGTATAGAGTATGGCAAAAGAGTATTTATGTATGCAGCTCCTTATATGTGGACTCTCCTGCAGAAGGACTTAAAGTTGCACTCTTTGGTCCCTCTCTGCTGTTTCAAAGCACTGCTGCAGGATTTTTGTACACAATCCTCTATATGCCAATGTCACAGTGTCTTAGCTGGTCTTTGTAATCATTTGTAGTTGCTCTTTTTGCATTTTTATTTTTCACTGCTAGTATATGGGGCATTCTACTGAATGTGTGCAAAGTTAGGCTGGAAATACTTTGAAATTTTGTATGTTTTATTTCCAAAAATTTGTCCCTATATACAGTGGTGGAAAAAAGTTTTCGGACACCCTTAAAATTTTACACAATCTCAAATATTATCATGAAATATTTGTGGAAAAATCTTTTTTGTGTTTCAAAAGGTGTGGCTGCATTAGACAGATACAAACAAATACAAATTATATTTTTTTGTTCATTGTTTACAAGAAAAACTAACAAAACTAAATTCTTGACAGTTTCAATATGTCAGTTCTCAACATTGTCGGTATCAAAGTCAACAAATAACAGAGAATGTGTTCAAAACTGGACAAAAANTTAGGTTCCTTGTTTTAGCCATTTTTGTGTCTGAAGAACTTTCAAATGTGCTGGCTTTATGTAGACACGAAGCTTGGCAACAAAAATTGTGTCTTTTAATAAAAAGAACGACCTTCATCACTGGTACCAAAATGACCCAATACTCAAAATTTCTTATGTATTTTTATGGAACCAATCAATTTTAAGTTTTAATGGC